CCCCTTTTATCTATCTATTTTCAAAAATACCCCTTTTTAAATATAAAAAATTATAAAGTTTTATATAGTTTATAAGGTATTTCTATATAATAACTACTACTGGAAGATTCGATACAAATATTTTAAAATGTTTTAAATAGTTTTAAATCGTTTTTATAAGTTTTATAAGGTTTTTAAAAGGGTTTATACGCTTTTTATAAGGTTTTTGTAATTTATTTTTACGCTATTTATCAAAGGTATATAAAGTTTTATACACATATAAAGATAATTTGTGTATATATTTATAAGCTTACACACATATTTGGATAAATTTCAATATTTTTAGTGGGTTTTTTGATAAAGTTTGAAAAGGGGGTATTTTTAAAAAGAGGTATATGAAAAGGGGTATTTGGTTTACGTAGTAGATAAATTTAATATCTAAATTTATTTTTATTTTAGAATTTTGATCAATTTTCTTGTTTAGATATTTTTAAGAAATCATGAAAATTTGATAATATGTTAATTGTAAAATTCAGAAAATCATTGATATATGGTAGTCATATATAATAAGAAATTATATATGAAATACACAAAATTATAATTTTCATATATTTAGATACTTTTCATTTAAAGTCAATTTAAAAAGTTTTAATATCTATTATTCTAAATTAGTTGAAATAGTTACATATGCAAATCTGTTAAAAATAAGATCTAATAATAATTTTTTTCTATAACTATTATTATTCGAATTTAAATACAGACGTTTATCATTGAAATCTATTTAAATGTTAAGACTCAATTTTTGTCTAAATTTATTTTTGTTAATTTGTTCTTTTTTTAAGGAAATACATAAATACCTCATTTCAATCAATAAATTTCAAAAAGATTTATTTTTTTTGGCTATATTTGCGAGATTGTTTATGAAGATTTTTATGTGAAAATAAAAGGTTTTATGTGATATAAATTTTTTATTATGTTGATTTTAGAAAAAGAAAAAAAAATTATTATTGATTTGTTGAAGAAAGTTTATTTAAAAATTGTTAATGATTTTCTTAAGATTTTATAATTATTAATATTTTTATGATATAATCAGTTCTGATTATTATGACTCTACATTTTATGCTATTGTAGAATTTGATTAGTCATTTATTTCCTAATCTAACATATTTATTTTTCTTTTTATTTTTCATATATCAATTTAAAAAAAAAAAATATATGATGATTTGTTTTATTAGAATTGATTAAATATAAATTATTGTTTTTAAAAAATTTTTAAAAAATATGTTTACATGTAAAATTTTTGAATATAATTGTCCACTTTTTATGGAAACAAAATATAGTTTCCATAAATATAGATATTTTTTTTTTGGTTTAGTTATTTTTTTGCTGTCTTTAGTTATGTTTGGCAACAGGTTTGGATTTACATATTTTTTAATATATTTTTTTTGGGACTGTTTGGACACAGCTTGTCCTTCTGTTTTAATAGTATAGATAATAAAAAAAATTTGTATTATTCTCATTTTTTTTCTTATGTTAAAATCTAAACTAGTATAAGTAAAAATAATTAGATAAAAAAAAATAGCATTGACATGTACAAATTTGATATATATATATGTCGTCCGTTATATAGAATGAAAAATTTAATTTCGCTCGTTGAAATTTCAAAAACGTTAGTTATCTCCGGTCCCGATACCTTAAGCGCAAGATGGTGGAAGGTGAAGAGACGAAGAAGATGAATATACAGACGAGCTACTTTGACGTCGTCGGTATCTGCTGTTCATCGGAGGTTTCTATCGTCGGAGACGTTCTCCGTCCACTTGACGGCGTCAAAGAATTCTCCGTCATCGTCCCTTCTAGAACCGTCATCGTTGTCCACGACAACTTCTTGATCTCTCCGCTTCAAATCGGTAAATAACAAAAATCATTATTCTTATAATCGCCGGCCGTTTTGACTTTTTGTCCATGGATGAGGCCAAAGTTTTTAAAGTCAACGACTAAAACCTTTTTGATTGTGTGATATATATAGTGAAGGCACTGAATCAAGCGAGACTAGAAGCAAGTGTGAGACCATATGGAGAGACAAGCTTGAAGAGTCAATGGCCAAGTCCTTTTGCAATAGTGTCTGGTGTATTGCTTGCTCTCTCCTTGTTTAAATACTTATATAGTCCGCTTGAATGGTTCGCTGTTGTTGCCGTGATGGCCGGTGTTTTTCCCATCCTTGCTAAAGCTGTTGCTTCGGTTACACGGTTCAGGCTTGACATCAACGCTCTCACTCTTATTGCTGGTAAGAAACATAAATCACTCTTTAAGTTTTCGATGATCAAAAAGAGCTTATACATATATATTGGTGAGGTAATGCATATACTTTTGTTTCGACAGTGATAGCAACTCTATGTATGCAAGATTTCACAGAAGCTGCCACAATTGTGTTTCTATTCTCAGTTGCAGATTGGCTTGAGTCAAGTGCTGCTCAAAAGGTTACTTTTTGTTGAGTTTCTGGTTCTAATGGATCACTATGAAGAAAATTAGCTTTGTTTTTTTTTATTACTGGATACATTGTTCCTGAAGTAACAAGTGTTTTCAGGCAAGCACAGTGATGTCGTCCCTGATGAGCTTAGCACCACAAAAGGCAGTGATAGCAGAAACTGGACTGGAGGTCGATGTAGGTGAGGTTAGAATCAATACAGTTGTTTCAGTGAAAGCTGGAGAAAGTATACCGATAGATGGAGTTGTGGTGGATGGAAGATGTGATGTGGATGAGAAGACATTGACAGGAGAGTCCTTCCCTGTCTCCAAACAAAGAGAGTCTACTGTTTTGGCTGCAACTATTAATCTCAATGGTACAAAACTAAATCCTATCTTGGATATGGTCTTCATATAATAGTTTCAGCTCATTGGCACAATCTGTTCTGTGTTATCTTAAGGTTATATCAAGGTGAAAACTACAGCTCTAGCCCGAGACTGCGTAGTTGCTAAAATGACTAAGCTTGTAGAAGAAGCACAAAAAACCCAAACCAAAACTCAAAGGTTTATAGACAAGTGTTCTCGCTACTACACTCCAGGTAAGGAATCAAGAAGACAAGAATCATATACAGTCTTCCTTTTCTCAGTTTAAAACATGATCATGATTCCATTTGTTGTTGTTGTTTTTTCAGCTGTTGTTATATTAGCAGCATGTTTCGCTGTAATCCCGGCTTTGTTAAAGGTTCCCAACCTCAGCCATTGGTTTCACTTAGCACTCGTAGTGTTAGTAAGCGGTTGTCCATGTGGTCTTATCTTATCCACACCTGTCGCTACATTTTGTGCTCTTACTAAGGCAGCCACGTCCGGTTTTCTGATCAAAACTGGTGATTGTCTAGAGACCCTGGCAAAGATCGAGATTATTGCTTTTGACAAAACAGGAACTATTACAAAAGCTGAGTTCACGGTCTCAGATTTTAGGTCTCTTTCTCACAATATCAATCTGCACACTTTGCTTTACTTGTAAGTATGTTTTTAGTTGACTTTATCAAAATTTACCATTATAGGGTGTATGAGATTATATATATGGATGGTTAGACACTTTTGAGATGTTTTCATCATAGGGTCTCGAGCATCGAGAGCAAGTCAAATCATCCGATGGCAGCAGCACTTATTGACCATGCAAGATCAAGCTCTGTTGAGCCTAAGCCTGATGTAGTCGAGAACTTTGAAAACTTTCCAGGAGAAGGAGTCTATGGGAGAATAGATGGTCAAGATATCTACATTGGAAACAAAACAATTGCACAGAGAGCTGGATGCTTAACAGGTCTCAATTGAAAGTTACATTCATTGCTTTGGGAAGTCTCTAGTATTGTTCTTGTTCTTCATGTATCTAACATTTGCAACATCTCTTATTTGTGGATGTATTGTTACATAAAGTTCCGGATATTGAAGCTGATATGAAGCGGGGTAAAACCATTGGTTACATATACATTGGAGCAAAACTGGCCGGAAGTTTCTGTCTTTTGGACGGCTGTAGATATGGGGTTGCTCAAGCTCTCAAGGAACTAAAAATCTTAGGAATCAAAACTGCAATGCTCACAGGAGATAACCAAGACGCAGCCATGACTACTCAAGAACAGGTCATTATCTAACTATTTTTCCCTCTCTCCTTATCTTTGTGAGTCATATAATCAGTGAGTTATATTTTGACAGTTAGGGAATGCTTTGGATATTGTTCACTCTGAACTTCTTCCACAAGACAAAGCGAGAATCATCGATGAGTTCAAGAGCCAAGGGGCTACAATGATGGTGGGAGACGGGCTTAACGATGCACCGGCTTTAGCTAAAGCAGACATTGGCATTTCAATGGGAATCTCTGGGTCAGCACTTGCAACAGAGACAGGAGACATCATTCTTATGTCAAACGATATAAGGAAGATCCCAAAAGGGATGAGACTAGCGAAAAGAAGTCATAAGAAAGTGATTGAGAATGTAGTTTTGTCTGTGAGCATAAAAGGAGCAATTATGGTGCTTGGTTTTGCAGGTTACCCTCTGGTTTGGGCAGCTGTTCTCGCAGATGCAGGAACTTGTTTGCTTGTGATACTCAATAGTATGATGCTTCTACGTGATGAGCGTGAAGCCGTGTCTGCATGTTACCGTGCTTCCCCTTCTTCTCCTCCTCCTTCACTGGTGGAGGATGAAGCAGAGGATCTAGAAGTTGGCTTGCTGCAAAAGAGTGAGGAAACAAGTAACAAGAGTTGTTGCTCTGGTTGTTGTAGTGGCCCTAAGTGAAAACCTTCTTCTCATTTAGAGGGTTCTATTGTGTAAACATGTTTTCGTACATTCTTCTCATTTATCGCTCTAATCAATTTCCTGTAGTGTTGGTGAACTAAATTTGATGTGAACCGAATGTTTTATTTTCTTTTTTTAAAAAAGGAAAATATTAAAAACAAAAAAAAGGGTAAAGAGCGTTGTACGTGGTGTATATATCAAGTTATCAACAATCATAAAAACCCTAATTAAAATTATTTGCTTTCTCTGCTGAGACATGGAAGGACGCTACATCGTACCTGCTTTGAAGAGGAAAGAGGAGACTCGTGATGTAGAGCGTGAATCATGGGACGAGCTTCGTAGACGAATCAATGGATTAGTCAATAAGGTAAACACAAACAATCTCCGTCACGTTGTTTTAGAATTGTTGGAAGAGAATCTCATCAGAGGCAGAGGTCTTTTATGCAGATCATGTATCAAATCTCAGATCGCTTCTCCTCTATTCTCCGACGTCATCGCGGCTTTGATCTCTGTCGTCAATTCGAGGATCCCTTTGGTCGGAGACTTGTTGTTGAGAAGATTGGTTTTGCAATTCCGAAAGACTTATAATGACCGTAACGACAAGCCTCGTTTGTTAGCTGTCGTGAGGTTCCTCGCGCATTTGGTGAACCAGCGTGTGGTTCACGAGACTGTTGCTCTTGAGCTTGTCGTAAAGCTTCTCGTTGAGCCTACGGGAGATAGTGTCGAGGTTGCTGTTGTACTTGTTACAGAGTGTGGAGCTATGCTTCAAGAAGCGTCTCGTAGAGCTCTTAACCTAATTTTCGACAGCTTTCGTAGGATTCTTCATGAAGGTGACTTGGAGTATAGGTCACGTTGTTTGATTGAGTCTTTGGTTGCTCTTAGGAGAATCAGTTTTAAAGGTCATCCAGCAATTCGTCCTGAACTTGATCTGCTTGTGGATTCAGAAGAGCAAGTGACACATGACATCTCTTTCCTCGATGTTATCGATCCAGAGAGTTCACTTGATGTCTTCAAAACCGACTCTGCGTTCCAGCAAAATGAGAACAAGTACGAGCTTCTGAAGAAGGAGATATTTGGGGAGCAAGATAAAGGCCTAGAAGAAGAAGATGATGAGGATAATGAAGCAGAAGATAGAGCAATACAAGATGATACAGAGACTGATCTTGTCAATCTCAGGAGGACAATTTATCAAACTATAATGTAAGTCTTGATTTCGAAGAAGCAGGGCATAAGCTGCTCAAGATCAGACTAGAACCAGGTCAAGAGATGGAGCTATGTGTTATGGTGCTAGAATGTTGCACTGAGGAGAAAACATATCGATCCTTCTATGGTCACTTAGCACACCGGTTCTGCCTCAGAAGCAAAGTTTACAGAGAATGTTTCCAGAATCTGTTTGTTCAGCAATATTCTATGGTGCACCGGTTCGACACCAACAAGTTAATGAGTGTAGCCACCTTCTTTGGGCATCTCCTGGCCACTGACGCTCTTCCTTGGCATGTTCTTGGATATGTTCAGTTAACAGAGGAAGACACAACTCCTTCATCACGTATCTTTCTCAAAAACCTTTTCCTACAACTCTCTGAGCAATTAGGAATTAAGGTTTTGAATGAAAAGCTTCATGATCCAACCATGGAGGAGACATTCGAGTCCATCTTCCCAAAAGACCATCTGAAAAACACACTGTTTTCCATCAAGTTCTTCACCCAAATCGGACTTGGGGGCATCACTGGAAAACTCAGACAGCTCATCGCCAAACGCAAGGAAATTGATTCAAGGGAGTTAAGAGATGAGATTGAGACAAAGCACAGAAGAAAAAGAGTTTAATCGATGGCATTTATGTGAAGCTCTCTCGAGTTGTTAGTCTTTATTTAGCTTGAGGAACTAGCAAAGTTTCAGAATTTTCAAAGACAATATTTTGGTTTGATGAACTTTAAAGCTATTTCTTCTCTTTGGCATACATTACCTTCTTGGTTCAACTTAGAGGAAGAAACACATAAACTTGCCAGCTTTTTTATTTGGTCACACTATCACAGTAAAGTTTCACAGAGTTTTAAATCACAAAACCCTTGGTTTGTACGTATAATATATATGGGTTGATAAATTCCAATGATTCATCACTATACAAAATTACAAATGCTCAATACACAACGTTCTTATAACTCAACAGAACAATTCCTTATAAATCAAACACTATATGAATCTTAATTGTAACAAACCTTTCTACAAGAAAGCAATGATAAAAAATTAACTATACGTCGTATTTGTGTATGCTTAAAAAATACAAGATCATAGAAAAAGAAGACATTACTCGTCTGTGAGTCCCTGATCTTTACATGAGTTCTTACGAACCCTGTCCCTGGCTAGGTTTCTGATGCCGTTCGCTTTGGCTTTGCCGCTGAGTCATATACGTAACAGATCTATACATATCCGAACATGAATATGCAACCTCAGACATCGCCTGAAAAAGCTCGGGAAGGCGAGTTCGAAGGCTGGCTAATGACTTTTCTCTAACTTGTTGGCTTTGTCTGTGGTAAGCTTCTTCTTCTTCTTCCAACCTCTTCTTAATTTGTTCTACATTGAATTGCCTCACAACTACCTCGTCTTTATGATCGTTATCCGCTTCTGACCCATCCGGATTCATCCCCTCCGGTCCTCTTTTTTGCATGTATTTATAGTACCACTCCTCAAATTGTCTAATTTTTCTTCCCAGTTCTTTTCTTGTCTCTTCGCATTTGTTTCTGAGACTTATCTCATCTTCTTGCTGCTGCATTATCGTGCTTATAACCGCTGCAAAATTGATTATGGCAGTTCTTGCCATTTCATCAGGGATTTTGTCTAAACGATCATACCAAATGGTGAGGAGTTTATGGATTGCGGGATTGGGAACTCGAGGAGGCGAAGATACTTTCTCCTTGAGTGTACTTTCGATAGGTATGAGATTTAGCTTTAACCATCCCAGAAGTGCCTTTATGTATTCTTTCTGATGATCTATCATCCTGCAAAACTGTGTGTGCCATTCTTGAACCACTGCCAAGAGCTGGATAGTACGTTCGTGATGATGATCATTTGTTTCTTTCACCGCTTGCGAAATGTCTAGAGATCTCAAAACCTTTGAGATCTCTGCTTGTCTTTGATGATGCATTTGCATCATCTCCCACATCTTCCCCATCCTGCAAAAAAAAAGAAAATCGAAAAAAACTCAACTTCTTCTCGTCTAAAACATCATCAAAAACAAAATCTACCAAGAAGTGAAACTTACGCCTCGACAAGGTGAAGGAGCTTTAGGTATAGTTGTTCATCCCGAAGACGATTGATCTCTGAAACTGTGGAGTCCATGGACTGCATATCAACTATGTATCTTGTATGCAAATGACTAACCGCTGCTTTGGCTCTCTCTAATGAATCTGAGTGACCACCTCGTTTCTTCACCCGATTTAAATGAGCAACTTTTTTCTGGTACTCGATTTTCATGAGTTCACCGGCCTAAATCCAGCAAAAATTTATCCCAAAATCAGACTTCCAATAGAAACACACGTCAGGTTCGCTAATGCATAACCACGAAACAATCAAAGAGACAAATACCACGTTCACAAACATCGACTTTTATCAGAAGACTAAACATGGCTGCAAGAATCTTTCATCAAGCACAAGCATTAAAAGAGACAAGTTTTGAAATTGTTACCTTGACTTCTTCATAGAGCTTCTTTTCCCATGCTAGCAATTTGTCAAGAACAGTAGCATGAGTTTCATTCTCTTCCAAATCGACATCATCTTTCCCATCATCAGCATTTGGTATTCCTCTAAACGATCTATTCCACGTAATTACACGCATCACTCTAGCAGAGTGATCAATATGTCCTGTCACAACAACACATAATCTTAAAGCAACCAAACCAATAAAAAAAGTAATCTTTTGTTTCTCCAGCAAATTGTAGAGATTATTACCTCGGTTATCTGCAAAGTTAGAATGGTAATGGAGCCTAGTTGCTTCAAGCATCTTAGAAACCTCATGAGCACTTTCAGAAGCTTTCAAGAAGTTATCATCAAGCTCAGTGAATACATTCCCCAAATTCGTCGTCCCCGGCATTCTCACTCCTCTCCTCTCTCCAGCCATCGCCATACCTTTACTCTTCTTCATCCCTCTCAAATTAGTAACTTTTTCCAATTCAACACTCACTTCCTCAACTCTCTTCGGTCTTTCCTCCACGGGAGCTTTCCTTTCAGGTACAGTCTCTACCGCCTCCTCTTCTTCTTCTTCTTCATCATCATCATCGTCATCATCATCATCATCATCTTCCTCTGTAACAGGTGACCGCGGTTGGGGAGGCAGAGGTTTTGAAACCTCTGGTTGTGGTGGTTGCGGAGGAGTGTCTTCTAACGTGGTTCCAGGCATATGCTCAACATTAGGGAAGAAGTAATCGTAGAAAGGTTGTTGCTGCTGTTGTTGATGCTGATGCAGACGTGGCGGCGGAGTTGGCCGTGAATTAGTGGCCGGAAGAGGCGGCGGCGCCTTCTCCTCTAGGTGATGATGATGATCATCAATCATCGGCCTACCTCCTCTATTACTACCTCCACGGCTTCTCGATTTCCTAATCAAACGGTCACGATTCTCCACTTCGGATTCTTCATCATCATCATCATCATCATCGTGATCTAGGGCTCCGTCTTCTTCAATACCGTTGAGACCACTACCAGAAGGACCGCCAACGGATCTACCGTTCATCTCCGGCATAGTAGCAGCACGCTGAAGAGGAAGAGGCGGAGGCGGAGGAGGAGGAGGAAGAGTATCAGGAATCGACTGAGGAATCGCGGCGGAGGAAGAAGAAGAAGAAGCGGCGGAATTAGAAACAGCGGCGGCGGAAGTAGGAGGAGGAGGAGAAATAGCGGTGGGAAGAGAAGAGGTAGAAGCGATAGCAGCAGCGGCGGAGGCGGAAGAGACTAAAAATTCGCCGTGGGAGTAATCGGAGAGAGCAGCTCCGGTGTTTTTAAGAGCCATGGCGTAAGCAGAGTGAGCGGCGGCGAAAGCGTTACGAGCAGTGACGGCATCTTTCATCAACTTTTTGCGGTCTTTGCAACGAGTAACAGCTTCTTCGTTCTCGATCTTAGATTGGGCACAACCCATCTTCTTCCTCTCGAAAGCTCTCTCTGCTACTTACTACTTCAGATCGATCGGAGAGAGACAGAGATGGAAACTCAAAAAGCTTTGGAGTTAAGTTTTTAAGGAAGAAGAAGAATAATAATAGAGAGAAGATGATACGACGTCGTTGCAGTTGTTAGAAAAGGCTTTTTCTATATTTTTGGTTAAATTTTCCATTTTTCGTTGGGCTACTCTCAGGGGGTAATGACGTGGATAAAGTTATAAAGTTAACAAGCGAATATATCGTTTTTCTTTTCTTTTTTTTTGAACTTTTTGTATTTGTAATTCTTCGTCGTCTACTATTCAATTTCACTATATAAAGATGTTCTTTTTTTTTTGTCTCCAAAAAACATAGATGAAGTTATGAATATGTACGATGGTCGTATATTTTTATCTGGGCTAATCTTTTGATTATACAAAATTTTGTTAAAACATAATTTAATACAAAATTATTAGCCGACAAAATAAATGATAATAAATAAAAATACTTGAATATTTGGAGGACGTAAACTACGATTCGATACAATCATACACACAACTATTTTGAAAAGAAAATTGTATGTCGGCTTGGAACAAAAGATTATAAAATATAAAAATTTAACTGAAAAAATAAACACAAGCTTGAACCGTAATCCATGTCTAGAGTACTGTTGTAAACCTTTAAATGGGTGACGCTTAAACCACAAGCTTCATCATGTATTATGCCCTAATAGCAAAGGACCAGTTCTGAGGATTAAGGTACGTACGTTTTTACCTATACCTAGAAAAAAATGATTCGATTATTCGGGGATACTCTTAACTTTCATAAGAGTGAAACAACCATTAAGAATCATTATATATTGATAAATATTCTCTTCATCTAATTCAACAAGATTCTCATTATATAACAACTCTTTATAGTTTCCTAAATTTTTGGATACAACCTCGATCAAGTCTTCAAAAGATATAATGTATTTTTTTCCAACTTTTTCAATAAACCATATGCAGAAATCAAGGTTTAATTTGCATTTTCCATTCATCCGAAATCATTCTTTATTTTATGGTAAAATTAGTCGGTTCATAAGAATTCCATAATAGAGTCAGTGTCCAATATATGAGTAAAATCCATTAACCTATGTTATCAGGGTTTTAGCAAATAGAGATTCATATAAAGTTGTGTTTTATAACTCGGTTACTGAGTTACGGGTGACAACATAAATCTTTTGATGTTCTAAACACAATTCTATAAGAATCTCTACTTTCTAAAATTCTAATGACATAAGCTAATGGATTTCTCACTATACACTATTTGCACTTGTTATGGATCCACTGATAGTAAGATCAAATTAAAACAATTATATGCTTTCTCACTGATGATTTGACAAAGGCCAAGACGACCAATCCTGAGATACAACAAGATTTGCCCACCGGTTGTTTCCTTCAAACCTTTGATAACACGTTCAGAACGTTCTGTCCTTAGCTTTGATTATATTTTAACAAGTGTATATGAATATAAAAAGTTTCATCCGATCCGTTGTTAAAAGATTAATCAACTAGTGGACTAATTACAAAGTCATAAGGATAATTACATATTGAATTACGAATATACTAATGAATTTTAACTACGAAGAGAATTAAGAAACCCTTAATTACATAATGACTACTTTGACACTTTCTTATCTCCGGCGCAGAGCTGCAAGACGACTCACCACATCATCATAATCCAAGAGCTTTGGTCTTTCAAACGACGACGTTCTCTTGTTCTCTCTTGTTGTGGAAACTTCCTTATTGCTTGTGCTTGTGAGACTCTTACTGCCTTGTATACCAAGCGACCTCGAGTTTTCTTGATCCATACTCTTTCTATTCTCTTCTTTCTCCTCTTCTTGTGCTTTCTCATCATTGTATGAAGGAGATATTATACCGTAAGGTAAAATCTTCTTCCTCGTCTTCTTCCGCACAGATTCTCTTCTTAGAGAACTCGAACTCGAGCTTGAGCTAGAACTAAAACTGCCTTTGGACAATAATTCTCCTCGCCAAGTACTCTCTGAAAGAACCGATTCGTCCTCGCTTTGATCATCTATCATACTTTTCTCTGTCTCAAGCTTCTGATCATCAGCTCCTGTCTCCATATTCCCCTCAATCTAAACACTTTTCAGACATTAGACCAACCAAAACCTACAAAGAAATCGATGTTTTTTCTTTAGTCAAAGTTCTACAACACATAATTTACCTGCAGAGCTGAAGTCTCTCTGAGTAGCATCAGTTTCAGAGCTGTAGGATCCCAGTTAATCGAAAACTCATTCGCAATATCTTTCACTGTAAGAATCTTGAGTTCTCGTGAAGGTAGTTTTCGCGATCCAGTTCTCTCAACGAGCTGCAAGATTTCAAAAAGACATACTGTCAGTACAAGAAATGAGACAATGTGTAGTGTTTTTAATAATAATCAACCAACCTCATGATTTACAGATGAAGCAACAAAATTTCCAAATCTTTTAGTAAACACGGCTCTAAGATCCTTCAGTTCAGGAACATCGGGAACCCATGCAGTTGCATATATCAAAGAGGAAACAGCTTCTCTGCATTCTTCAGGACATTCCCTAAAAGTGAAGGAAACAGAATAAAAAATACAACAAGTTAGTAATTTTTGAGAACTTTTGGACTGAAACTTAGAGATTAATAACAAAGATGTATACCTTTTCTTCAGCATCAGGGGGAGATTTTCAGAAATACAATCGCAGAATCGCTCGATGAGATCGTAGCACGATATTATTCTAAGCTCTTCGAGTAATAGATCTGCCTGCAGTAACAAGAAAGAGATTAGCAAAACCTTAATGTAAGAAAGAAAGCTTAGTATTATATAATGAGAGAGTATAAGTCTTAATTACTCTTCTGTAAGCTTCATAATCTTGGCCATTATTGAGGAAGTTCACAATATCTGTCTTATAATTTCTAACCATTGCAATCCTTTTCTTCCTCACTATATCAAGCCGAATCTTCATGTAGCTGGTTGTAGATTTGCTGCAATTCACCAAGAACAAGGATTAGTTATAAAATTGTTCAGAAAGATTCAAAACTTTTAAAGTACAAAACAGAGTGGCAAAAGACTTAAACACCTTTTCTTGTAGAACTTGGGTTTAAAGCACCTAAGAAGAAACATCTTGTTTTGGATTTCTAGAGGCAAGAAGATGGTAAACAAAAGGACCAAACCTTTATATGAAAAGAATACAGAAGAATCTAAACGTTGGTTTAGTGAATAATGTTGAAGTAATACTCAGAATCAGAATATTGCAAAAGCTATGAAGCAAAGTAAAGAACCAATAAGTTTCTTGTTAAAAGATAAGAGTAGAAGAGATATATATACACAAACGAAGACTTTATCTTTGAAATGTTTTGGATAGATATGGTCTTTGTATATTCAATGAAACTTTAGTTTTATTATATAAATTATATATTTGCGACTTAGGGAACAAGCTTTAGTTTTGTTATACAGAACTACTTAGTTAACAAGGACCTTTAGCTGTAATCCTATAAACTTCCAAGAACCTTCTCTAATACGACAACGTTTCTTAACCTTTTCCATGAAATTGTAGTAATTGGACAATGAAATGTCTCCTAAGATTCGATTCTACAGTCAAACAAAAAGGTTTCTTATTATTGGGACTTAAGCTATAAGTTATTTTACATCTAATGGTTGGACCAATTGCTGAAGCTGATGGACAATATGTGACATCCTTGGACGCATCGATGGCACATTCTGAGTACATGAATAAACCAAGTCCACAACTTTCTGAACCACACTTGCTTCCGGTAAACCAGACGTGATAACCGGATCAAGAATCTCTAACCACATGTTAGCCTGAACCAACGGTGTAGCCCATTCGAATATGCTCTGCCACCCAACTGAAGAGTTAACCGCTTGAGTTGGTCTACGACCGCTCACAATCTCAAGCAAAAGGACTCCGAAGCTGTAGACATCGCTCTTCGTCGTGAGCTCGTTTCTGTATACGTATTCGGGTGCGAGGTAACCGTAGGTTCCACCCGCCATTACGGTTCTCTCTTGCATTACTTCCCAAGGAACAAACTTTGAGAGACCAACGCCCATTAAATGAGCTCCAAACTCCTCGTCCAGCAGTACATTGCTTGCACGTATGTCACGGTGCACCACTTGTGGTTTGACCTTGTCATGTAAAAACCTGTTTTTTCCAACGTAAAGACTAGAAGTTAAGCTTAAATCTTGTCATAATTTCTCAAAACAGAAGCTAATGTTATAAGATTCGACTTACGCGATTCCATGGGCAAGAGTTGTGGCAATGTTCAGCCTCATGCTCCAGTCTAAGCTCCTACCACCTCTAGGCACATGGTGCAGCCATCTATCAAGCGGTCCACTAGCTATGAACTCATAAACAATGAAACGTTCTCCATGATCATAGCAACAACCTTTGATGGCTACTACATTCGGGTGATGAAGTTTGGCTGCTCTTCTAATCTCAGAGTAAAACTCTTTCTTCCTCTGAAAACTAGACCTTTTCAGTCTCTTAACCGCCACTTTAGTCCCGTCTGATAAACCACCGGTATAAGTTCCACCTGTTTTCGCATCCCCGGCCAGACGGTTTGCTTCACTGAAGTTCTTTGTCATTGATCTCAGTTCTTCGCTGGTGAAGATCTTCCATGAGGGAGGAACTAAAGCTGAAGAGGAAGAAGCTGGATTTGATACTTTCCGGGATTTACGGCGTTTCTTGCTTCGTTTGTAGACAAGGAGCCATAATATGATGGCGAATGTGGTAAAGAGAATCAAACCACTGACAACAGCTAGGATAACTACATATTTGTGACAATTGCGACATTTGAAATCTGCAAAGAAGAGAAACTAGGCAGATCAAGATCTCTCTGTAGACAATGTTCACTTACTCCTAACAATGTTCCCTAATTAACAATTATAATGGACTAAGTAGTACAAATGCAAAAATATAGAAGAAAGAGAGAGGCCATTACCAGAATCAACCGCGCAAATGAAAGCACGAGAGGCATTACATCTTTCACCAAAGACTGGCGATGAGCCGTTTGTCACGGCTATACATATATTAGCACGACAAAATGCACTGCCATTGCCATTGCCACAGCGGGTGCGAATTGGCACTTTGGGAAACATGGATTGGTTCCATTGAGGCGTCTTGGGATCAGACCAGCTCCAGTGGAAACCAGAGGTAGAAGAAGAATTCAGACTTCTTCCTCCAATCCAACACCCACTAGAGTTCACATTGCATAGTTTTTGAACAAAGCTGAGTTCTTTACTCGATGCAGAGGATGCTAAATGACCACCATAGGTTCTACAGAACATCTCTGACTTCTCCCATGAAGTGGAGTTTTTAAAGTAAGCATAGCATTTCGTTTGGTTCGATCCAATGATCCAATCAGGAGGACAAGACGCTGTACATAGAGAATCACTAACAGTAAATACATGAGACTCTTGTTCTCAGCAATGATATTCACATCAGAGCACAAAATCACAACTTTGTACCTTTGCGAGATCTTTGCTTGACATCAGTTGCATTCTGAGTTGATTCACTTGATATCTGCAAAAAATCATTTCAAAAATTTCACCTTTTATCGATCAATCAACTAACGAACATAAATTACCACTTCAAAATCTGTGAAAAGATTCGAGCAAGTTCAGAAACCCTAGTTCTTGAATCACTTACAGTGTCCAAGGACGCGAGATAAAGCAGAGCCAAACAAGAAATCAAGAAGAGTGATTGTTTCCGGCAAAAGACAAACTTCAGCTCCATAGCTACAGCTTCACAAAACCCTAAAAAAATCAAACCAAATTAGCCTCAATTTTTGCCAAATCGGAAACCTGTAAACCATCATCGGAAAGAGAAGCTTAATCGGGAAACTGGAAACTACCGTTTAAGTCATACCATCGGGAAGAAAAAAAGCAGACTTTATGATTGTGTGAAGAGTAATGAAAAAATGGGTCTTTCGTTGGTCATAAGGTTTTTTTTTTATGTAACTGTAGAATTGCAGAGTCCCGACAGAGAGAGAAAGAAAAAGGGTTTTAATGGCGAGTTAATGGAGGAGACAGGAGATGGACTTCGGACAAGTCAGTGGGTAGTTCGGAAAATGAAATCTTATTTTCTTGTTTCTTCCCTATTAGTTTCCGACCCTTATATTACTTGATTTTACAACTTCTCACCCTACATGATCATTATGGATTATTACAAACATAACCTCAGTGTTCAGATTCTCTTGTTTATAAATTCACAATTTATTTCTCTCTCAAATTTCAGATTCTGGTAATTTGAAGGCAGATTGTTTAGCGCGCGCTAAACTAAAGTGTTAAACTCTGAAATTTCGTTTGTAATTTTTTTCTACGAATAAACAATATTTTAATAAAAATTGGTTGAAATAATATAATTCACAATTTCTAAAATCTATTTCAGTAACTAATGGATTTATAATTTGGAGTAAATAGTTTATATTTGGACTTTTTTCAATTTATTTTTATATTTGTTAATTATCTCGAATTTTTTTTGGAAATTTAGAGTAAGTTTCCTGATTTTCCGATTGTTTTCAAAGTGAATTTTCTTTTACTTTCTTGGTCCTGTGCGATTAAAATGTTTTTCTTTTCAAAATAATTTTTTAAAAAGCATAATTGATGTAATTTCCTTAATCTTATAAAAATAGAAAACTAACATAAACATTTTAGAAGAGATACAAGAAATTGGACTAGCTAATCATGAATTCACGGCCGGTTAGTCTTTCTGATTGAAGGTTCCGAGGAAGAAGACCACTAAAAAAAAGTAACATGGAGACGGAAGCCACTGGTTGATAAACCACCGCAGCCACAAGTTTAACCACTGAATGTACTAATGAGACAATCACCTAAACAAAGGAATATTTTTAAAAAGGTCCATCAGAAACAAGCTTGAAAATATCATATTGTACGTTCTTCATCATTCATGGCATAGTTCTAGAAATTGACCATTGTTCTTCCTTCATGGTGTAATTTCTTACACAAATTGTTTTCGTAAAAAAGTAATGGAGGCAAAGAGAGAAAACGTACCATGAACGACGAGGAACAACTGTAATTGAAACCTTGATCTCTTTTGTTTCCTTGAGATGAGAGAAGAAGGTTTGTTTATGACTCTATCAATCGTCTCCTACTCAAACCTTCTCTCGACGATAGCTTGAGGACCAAAAAAAGTATTTATATGATACTTGGAGAACAAAATCACCTTTATGGAATAAATTGTTCGCCAAGTATTGAAATTTAACTATTTAAGACTGAAACAACAATTTTTCGGAATAGTAGGGAAGAAAATTCGTTTCCGGTTTTAATATTCGGAATGGGCCAAATATAAAAAGGCTTATTAAAGTTTAAAGGCTCATGGCCCTGGGTCTAAGCGATCCAGTAACAGAATTGTCACACAACCCTAATAAAAAGAAGAAAACCCTAGCTTTATATAAACTTTTGTTGACATTCCGTCGTCACTTCTGTCTCTGAAGCCGGAACCTCAAGGTTTTTTTGTATCATCTGGAAACTCGCATTTAGCTTCAATGGTGATTTACGATTCTCTCTTTATCTCTGTTTCATCTCTATTGCATCGTCGATCTCTTCATCACTGATTAGGTTTTTGTATTGAGATTATCAGGGAAAGGGAACGGGAAGTTTCGGAAAGAGGAGAAACAAGAGTCATACACTCTGCGTCAGATGTGGACGTCGTAGTTTCCACATCCAGAAGAGTCGTTGCTCTGCTTGTGCTTACCCCGCCGCTCGCAAGAGGACATGTACGACTCTCTTCTCTCTCTATCTCTCATTTTGCATCGTATTCGCTTCCTAGATTAAGAAATGGATTATTCTTCATTTCAATCCATTGATTCTGAATCAGAATTAGGATTCTTATGATTAGGTTTTGTTTAGGGATTAAATCATTCCTTTGTAAGTATGATATGTTGAGTGATGCTTCTCATTGAGAGCTTGGTTATTCATATCTAAGAATGAATACCAATTGAATGCACTATGAATCTTTAGTAAGAATTTACATAACTCTGTGACGAGTATCTGCTCTATGGTCTTATTGAATCCTGATTGAATTGAGTATCTGCTCTATGCTCTCTTATGTTTGGTCTCTCCTGTTAAGCTTCTCAGTTACATTCATAGCACTGTCTTCTATTCAAATTTTGTAATCTGCCATTTTGTGGATAGTACTGATCAATGTATGTGTATTCATGTTGTAAGACAACTGGAGTGTGAAGGCAATCCGTAGAAAGACTACTGGAACTGGAAGGATGAGGTACCTTCGCAACGTCCCTCGCAGGTTCAAGACTGGTTTCAGAGAAGGTGCTTACCCTTTTTATATATATTCCATCATTTCTTTTAGTTCACAATAAGAAACTGTTATTTACGATTGAAATGTTGTACATTTTGGTTCTTGAATTAGGTACCGAAGCGAAGCCAAGAATCAAGGCAGCAGCTTCATCAGCTTAAACTTGTTTTCGAGCATCAGTTGGAGAGTTTGTTTGTTAAACTTAGATTTTGGCTGGCTCTGAGTTTGTTTATTCGAAAATTTATTATTATCAAGTATCTGATTATGACTATCTTTTTGTGTGTTTTTTGCTTTTTTATAAAGACTTGGACGAGTTTTCAATTTGCAAGTCTTTTAAGTTCTATCTAGGAATTATTGTTTATAATAATTCTCTACCTGTTGTGGTCAGCTGCCAACGTAATTTGCTCAAAATTACTGACATAGACTTATAAGTTTAACCATGTCCAGTTAGTTATACAGAGCTTCTCGGTTTGAAAAAGTGATATGGCACTTCTTTCGTATCTACTCATTAATCTGTGTTACATCTACAGTAGGTCTCACAGCTGAATAATTGAGATTATGATCGAACAGAAAAATTGATTGATGATGAACAATTGCTTAATTGAGTTAAGAAATGGGATTGTGATCGAAAAAGATAAGCTCAAGAGCTGAGAGGTTGAAATCGTGAGTTAAATAGATGGGCTGCAATGTTTTAGCGTCCTCAAAGATAATTAGGCTATGACCTTGACAAATATTGCGGTATAAGCCAGCTTCTTGCATGCTCCGAATTTATGAAATTTTCATGGACCTTGAGAGACTCATATACATTGTGAAATCTAACACCAAGGATGTTCATTGTACGTAATCTGCTTTATCTATGTTAAGATGCCAAGATCTTTTTCTTCACAAATCTTAGCTAAGATCTGGCTAAAATATTACCAATAATGTTGTTCATATCCATGAGTTTTTAGGGAAGATACTTAAAAACTCTTGTTAACACTGTCTTGTTTGATTGGTTCATATTTTATATAATTATTACATACTTTAATAATAAAATATCCATTAAAAATTAGGAGTTTTAGATTTGTATCTTGCGACCTGTTTAAAAAGTGGTACATAAAAGTGAATGTTACAAAACATTGATTTTATTTTAAAATATGGTACTACATTGTAAGTTAAGTTTAAGTATATTACACACTGTATTTAGTAAAAGTAAGATGTACAAAAGAAAATTAGCGTTCAATTTATTTAAAATATTTTTTAAATTAAATTCTGAGATTCGTTTCTTATCTCGTACTAAAAATGATTGATTGTTTAGATTCACATATTTTATGTTATAGATTTTCTTAACTTTTTTATAAATTAATGGAGACATATGGTTAATCATTCATTTCTTTTATCTCACAATTATTATTTATATAAGATCGATGTGTCTAGTTAAGCAACAACATAGAAAACCACATGCAATAATGTCATATCTAAGTTTTAAGTCATACATGGTAAGCTGAGTAGCATTAGAAAAAAGTTAGTAAGAAAGAAGTTAAGTTACACGAAAGGAGGGAGTAGTCGCTATCAGATTGAAAGAAACAGACCAACCAAAGATTTGTACGACGAGAACAACCATTGTACAAAAAAAAAAAAAATGAAATACGTTTTTCTGTTTTCTCGTACAATGGTTGATTTTGTTAACTTTTATAGTTGCATACCTTACACTTAACAATTTAGCTGTGACTCAAATTTTGATATGGGAATGTGGAAATTATTTAGTTTATATTCTTACATGCAAGTATGATTATTTGAAACTTCTGAACCACTCCAACTTAATTTTATCACCAAATATCTCAAGGTTGCATGTACAATCTATCAATTTTGTTTTCTAATGCTACTTAGACACTCCATCGTCTATCCAGTCACGTAGGCATCAAAAAATTCTCTCGCAAAGCTACTTACGATGGATCTACTACCGTCAAGTTTTGCTGTAGCAAGAGTAAGACTATCATGCCTACATTTTTTTTTCTTTTAATTTGTTTAGTAAATTGCCATTTATTATTTTTGTTTTAGGTGATTTGGTATATGTGTAGAGATTATGAGATTTCAACATTTGAATCTGTGTGTAAATAGATTTAGAACTTTGTGTTGATTGAGAAATGGAAAGAGGTCCAAAACTTATGTAGATCTTATATTATATGATAGTGTCGAAAGGGAAATTGATTGTTAAACTTTTCATATCTCACCTAGTTTGTCTTGAAAACAAAAAGTTTTTTTTGGTTAGATAAGTGATTTCGATAGTTATTTTTATCTTGTGAATACGTAAATTGATTTCCTCTTATTACATTTCTTATATCAAATAGTGCATATGGTTCTTGATATATGCTTCCATTGACAATTGCATTCAAGATCAGTCCGTAGCCTAGCTACCAACTTAAATTGATTCCATGTAAATGATTAAAACATAAAACAACTTTCGGAGTAGGATTGGTTAATGAAGTGGCTTCACCGCATATAATTTAATGAACAAACTATAAATAGAAAGGTGAATACGTTGGAAAACGATGTTAAGAGTTAATTTAGTTGTTCGAATGAGTTCAATAATTCTAAAAGTTAATGACTAATTTAGGGAGAGATAATAAATAATTGGTATGTGCGTTCATATCTTTTTTTTGGTCCTTTCATCGGACAGTGTAACTTATTTGTGTAGAAGCCGTGTTTGATTTTATACAAATAGTATAAAACTTTGTCAGATATATTTTTACGATTTTTTTACTAAAATTTTTATATTTAAATTATTCTTTTTTTAATTTTGCTTAGTGTTTAAAATTGTGTAGCTGTATTTTGATTGTGAATTACTTATAAGTTCGTTGAATAATTTTTTGCAACTATTTTTTTTTTAAGTTGTATTTGTTTATTAAATTTTAAGTATTTAAGATTGTACAATGATATTGTGATTGTTAATTATATGATTTAACCTATAGAATACAACGTGACAAATTGTTTGTTATATATAACCATAATTTAATCAACTTAATAAAGTATGTACAATATTTCAAATAATGATATGACGATGGTGTAACATCTTTCATTTATTTTAAAACAAATAAGATCATTTAAAAATATTTGAGAGATATTCAATTTATTAGGGAGATATTTTAGTAAAATCAAAGTAGTTGTAGATCTTTTAATTTAAACTTTATAGTTAATAAAATTATAGAAATGGCAAGGGTTTATGTTGCAAATAATACAAAATAAAAGGTAACTTTCCAAAAGATACTTCACAAATGTTAATATAGATACGTCATAATATTTAACTTACAAAGATATTTCAAAAATGTTAATATAGACACGTCATAATATTTAACTTACAAAATTATTAAATTTGGAGAAATATTTTATAATATATACCATAAAGCAAATCTTTATTTAAGGTAAAAAAATATTTTAGTTTTAAGAATAACCATCAAAATTAAGTTTAAAATCGTTTAATCTCATTTGTAATAATTTTCCTCTGTTTAAAAAAAAAATAAAGCTTTACTTCAATCATATTAAATATATCTATATATATAAAGTTAACTTTTTCTCTCTTCTCCTTAAGCCACATCATCATCCACCTCATTTTGTTATTTAATTTTTAAAATTAATTATACCATTTTATCATTTAGTTTTAATATTTAAACCTATGTAAATAAGTTTTCCAAAAATGAATATGAAAGGTCTTTTTTTATATTATACATTATAAAACTAAAAAAGATAATTGATTAAAAGTTAAAAAAACTTACTAATTATCGATTATACTAACAAATATATAAATAATAGATTATAGTTTTTAGTGAATGTTTAAAATATATATATGATTATATTTACACAATGTAAACCTAAATATAATGGTATTTAACGGGAATAGAACGAAAAGTTAAAATTTTTGAGAATATAAATCTATCTAATTTATGTCTCAAAACATTTTCTAACATAAATGAGATAGGTCGGACCGAAACATGAATTCTTATTTTTTATAAACATATAAAAAGGTAAAAATAAAAATAATATTTCTTTAAAAGTTTCCAATATGAATTTAACTATTTGTCTCCAATACAACACAATAAACAAAATATAAAATTAACTATATTTCATAAAATTGAAAATTAAAATAAAAAACATTATTAAATGAAATAAACTAAATATAAAGTAAATTATACTAATATGTTAAATTTAAAAATTGTTCCATATGATAAACAAAAAAAATATATAAAACATAAAATCAGAAAAAAATATATAATAGTATATAAATGATTATTACGAGATATAAAGTACGACAAATCCAAAAAAGGAAAACGTAAAACAAAAATAATAAATTATGACAATATATAAAGAGATAATGTAAACAATTTAAAATACAACAATCCGCCCGAAACCCACAAATCATGTTCAAATTTCATGCCAACATATAAAAGAGTCCAAAATATTAATATCTAGATCTATATTTAGTAAAAACCATAATAGCACACGATTCTCAATGATTCTCAACCGCACTTCACACTTAATCACTCAACGACTAATGAAGGTAAAACTCAATAGTTTTTCTATATAAACACGATTTAAGTTTTAAAAAAGTAAAGTATGGTATAGTGAAAAAAATAAATACGAAATAAAATACGAACCAATTATTCATAAACAACATAATAAACTCCCGCGCGTAGCGCGGGCAACCGACTAGTATAATATATAATATGCTAAACTAGCATAAACCTTTTTTAAATTGGATAGATTCACCTTTTAAATTTATCAAATTGATTATACAAAATTTTTTAAAAATATATATATATTAAAATGACTTTTTATTTTTTTCCTATGAAGAATTTTAGTTATATAATAATTTTTATTGAAAATAAGATTGATTTTCAAAAATCTATCGTAAATTTATATTTGATTAGATTTAGTGTGAAGTTTGATTTTTGAAAATGAAAAAGAAAAAAAAACAAACAAACAAAGATGTAAGAAAGAAAAACAAACAAAAGATGTAAGAAAGAATTTGTTATTTAGTTGTTTATTAAGAAACAGAGTGACAAATAGAATTAGACACTGCAACAAGAAGAAGAAAGAATCTCACTACTAGTGGTGGAACCTACCCCACATGTTTCTTTCCTCTTCTTCTTCTTCTTCCTCCTCTCTCACTTCCGCCATGTGAAAACCCTGAAACCAACTCATCATCATCTTCCGATCTCTAAATGTCATCGTCTCCGTCGAACAACACTATCCCTTCCGTCCCATTCCCACCGGACCCTGTGTTTCCTTTCAATAATCCAAACACTACAACTACCCCTTCTCAGCCCTCCATCATCGGACCTTCTCCGCCTCCTCCTCCGTTCACGACGGATACATCACGCGATGAAAGTTTGAGAAGAGTAGCATTAACTCTACTAATCATTGGAGTAGTTCTTGGAGCTACGCTTGTTTCAATCGGAGTTTGTGTCTTTGTTTGTTTCTATAAAAGAAAGAAGAAGAAGATGAAGATGAAGAAGAAGAATGATACTGAAGCTGCCATTAATGGAGAAGACTCACTAGATCCCAAAGGTATTTTTCACTTTAGGGTTTCTTTATCTATTCTCAAAGATTCAATCTTTTCATTAATTATTCGATTCCTCTGTTTTTTTTTTTTTTTGGTAGACAATAATCTTCAACAATGGAATCATCAAAGTAGTTCATCAGATATTGGACAAAACTTGTTTACATATGAAGATTTGTCTAAAGCAACTAGTAATTTCTCTAGCACTAACCTTATTGGACAAGGTGGGTTTGGTTATGTTCATAAAGGAGTTCTTGTTGATGGAACTGAGGTTGCTATTAAGCAGCTTAAAGCTGGAAGTGGACAAGGTGAACGCGAGTTTCAAGCCGAGATACAGACTATTAGTAGAGTTCATCACAGGCACCTTGTTTCTCTTCTTGGTTATTGTATAACTGGTTCTCAAAGATTGCTTGTTTATGAGTTTGTTCCTAATAAGACTCTTGAGTTCCATTTGCACGGTGAGTTACTTGGTCTGTGATTATATGGTCTTCGTGAGTTCTCGTGATTTTGTTTTAATAAAACCTATGGTGATGTTTGTAGAGAAAGGGAGACCTGTAATGGAATGGCCAAAGAGGATGAAGATTGCTTTAGGTGCAGCTAAAGGATTGTCATACTTACATGAAGATTGTAAGTAATGTTTAACATTTGTTTCTGAAGTTTTTGTTCTTTTTTTTTGGTCTTTTGGTGTCAATTTGTCAAAGAGATTTGTTTTGTTTCAGGTAATCCTAAAACAATACACCGGGATGTGAAGGCTGCAAATATTCTAATTGACGATAGCTACGAGGCAAAGGTACTCTAAAAACTTGTAAAGATTACAATATTTCAAGTGAACTACTAATAATGTTGAACTTGATTCTTCATCAGTTAGCTGATTTTGGACTCGCCAGGTCTTCTTTAGATACTGATACTCATGTTTCCACTCGGATTATGGGAACATTCGGGTATGATAGGCTCTCTCCCTACGCAATCATCATATTAGAAACAACTTATAAAACGGTCTCTTGACTTGTCTCTAGTGGTTTTCTTGAAATGCAGTTACTTGGCTCCTGAATATGCTTCTTCAGGAAAACTCACTGATAAATCAGATGTTTTCTCATTTGGAGTGGTGCTTCTTGAATTGATAACTGGACGCCGACCTGTTGATAATTCACAGCCTTTTGCAGATGATGATAGCATTGTTGATTGGGTTGGTAATCTTGTTTTACCTTTGTTAGCACCAAACTTTCAATAAGTTTCTGAATTTAACCTCATGTTATAGGCAAAACCTTTGATGATACAAGCTCTAAATGATGGTAGCTTTGACGGTCTTGTTGACCCGCGACTGGAGCATGGCTTTGATGTCAGCGAAATGACGAGAATGGTCGCTTGCGCTGCTGCTAGTGTCCGTCATTCAGCAAAACGCCGCCCAAAAATTAGCCAGGTACTATCAAAACGGAATATTTTGGAAACAGTTTTCACCTAGCACTTGGGATAAAAACCTAAACTTGTGGTGATTACTCTTTGGACACTTGCAGATAGTTCGAGCATTTGAAGGAAACATATCTCTAGATGACCTAACCGAAGGATCTGCTCCAGGACACAGCACTATTTACAGCTTAGATGGGAGCTCAGATTACAGCTCAACACAATACAAAGAAGACTTAAAAAAATTCAAGAAAATGGCATATGAAAGTCAGACATTTGGTGGTAGTAGCGAATGCAGCGGTTTGACTAGCGACAACGGTCAGAACCCATCAGGGTCCTCTAGTATCACTGAAGGCCATCGTACAACGCAAGAGATCGAACCAGAGACGAGAACCAACGAGACAATAACTTAAAAACAGAGGATTCTTTGGTAATAGTTAAAAAGTCCAAGCTTTTTTGTAGGGGTAGGTTTAGGTGTAAACACATCATTCATAACACGCTCTTTCGCTTTTTATTTCATGTGTGGCTCTAATCAAAACTGTCATACTCCTCGTTTTGCACGTGAATATTTATTTGTTCAAGATATTAAATAGATTCAATCAAAGCTTCTACTATATGATCCTTTATTATTTTTGGCCTTGATATATAATTTGAGGGTTTAGTCTCTATAATCACATTTTTTATTTATTTAAAGCATAGTGATTTTGAAGAAAAAAAAAACACTTTAATGACCTTGTTAATTTGTAAATAAAATCCCGTCTCATATTCATTTTGTAAAATTAATGTATTTACTTAGTACATTAGTCAATGCTACTTCTAAAAAACAACACATGGAAAAAGTAAAACATAATTAGACCCATTAACTGTTTAAGGATTTCTTATATAAATTAATAGCTACTTTCCAAAACAATTCTTATAACAAGATTAGTAATGCTGTGAAGAAGAAGAAGCAAAAAAAAGGATTAGTTAAATGACTAATTAAAGGAGGGGTAGTTTAGGAAAGTAAGAGATTTAAAATAGTGTAACCTTGCTGTTATTTAGCGATTATTACCTTTTCTTTTTTAATTTTCTTCTGCAATTTCGCTTTCTCTTCACCTGAATCACACGAAAGAAGAAACCAAAACCAAAAGAGAAGAACAAAAAAACAGAGACAGTTTCTTCGGTGATAAGAAAAATCAAATTAGCTCAATCCCTAAAAGTTTTCGTCAATGTCTTCTCGTCGTAGAGTTCTTCTTAAGGTTATCATTCTCGGTGACAGCGGGTAAACAATTGTTTCTCATCTCTTCGATTTCTATATGGATTTGATGTGATTTTTATCTGTTCATTGATTGAGATTTTGATTGATCCTTTGTTATTTTGGGACAGAGTTGGGAAGACTTCGTTGATGAATCAGTATGTTTTCTGAAATCCAGATCTATGTCTCTTTTGCTTATTATGTTTTTGATAAAAAAAAAACCATATTGATTTTGGTTTTCATGTTTAGGTTTGTGAATCGCAAATTTAGTAATCAGTATAAAGCGACGATTGGAGCAGATTTTTTGACTAAAGAGGTTCAGATTGATGACAGAATCTTCACTTTACAGGTTATAAAAAATCTCTGTTTTGTCTTCAGTGTTTGAATGAATCAAACAACATTATATGATTCTTGGAATATTCTTACTGGATCTTTCTAAAGTTCCTAACTTTTTTTGTGGTTCATAATAAAGAAAAAGTTTTATTTTTTTTTGCTTTGTGAGTACTAGTTTGTTAGGAAAAATGTACTCCAAAGTTTGAATCTTTTCAATACATTATACAGATTTGGGATACTGCTGGGCAAGAGAGATTTCAAAGTTTGGGAGTTGCGTTTTACAGAGGAGCAGATTGTTGTGTTCTTGTGTATGATGTCAATGTTATGAAATCTTTTGATAATCTTAATAACTGGAGGGAAGAGTTCTTGATTCAGGTGATTATAACCTTCATCTAACCATATCTAAGCTGTTTGCTATAATCTATGATGTCTCATCGTCTTTATTGTGACACTGTATAGGCTAGTCCTTCGGATCCTGAAAACTTCCCATTTGTCGTGTTGGGGAACAAGACTGATGTTGACGGTGGAAAGAGCAGAGTGGTGAGAGGTTTTCTTATTCATCCACATTTCATGAATACTCAAGTATCTGTATGCTAAGTTTGTCCCATATCTTCAGGTTTCTGAGAAAAAGGCAAAGGCATGGTGTGCTTCTAAAGGAAACATTCCTTACTTTGAGACTTCCGCCAAAGAAGGGTTCAATGTGGATGCGGCTTTCGAATGCATAACCAAAAATGCTTTCAAGAATGAACCTGAAGAAGAACCGTAAGTACACTAACTTTCTGTTGAATTTGCTTCACTTCCACTTCGTCGAGGTCTTATCTTGTAACTTTCTCCTCTGATACCTTTTCAGGTACCTTCCCGACACCATTGATATTGCCGGAGGTCAGCAACAAAGATCAACAGGGTGTGAATGCTAAATCAAGCAAAAGTTTGTTGCAGAGGATACCCACATTTCGTTTTCTTTGGCACATTTGATTTTGTACCATACAATATAACTTCCGGAAATGTAATTTCAAAATTCATTAAGTTACGGATTGTAACGAATTGGGCTCCTTTTATTTTGGGTTCCATACAATATCAAATTCAAAATCATGTAATGTGTCACAAAAATTATCATCTATGATATTTTTCTGTCTCTTATGTCTACATTTCCTCAAACTTGTCTACAACTCATCTTTAGCAGACCCATCCTTTGGTTTCAACTCTTCGTTGATAAAAACAGCCATGTCCTTGGCGCCCAATTTCGTTGATAGCTTTAACTGCAGATCAAAACGGGTAAGATTCACTTCGTAGAAAGCTTGTAACTGAGCAAAAACAAAAGTGATGGAGTCGAAAAGGGATTGAGTTAAAGTGAGCTCTTTCAAAAAGACTCTTACCGGTTTCTCCTTTTCACCAGATTTGTAGAGCAAGATCATTGGATATTCATCATCTACCTGTCATCAACAATCAATAATATTAGCTCGTGCTTCTGGAATTGTTAGTTTTGTTGCAGGGAAAGATTTTGAGTCACCTGTAGTTTAGTATGCTCATTTGCAGATGCATCAATTCTTGCAAAAACAAGATTCTCAAAGCCTTTGAAATGCTTTGCCAATTTCTCGACTTGTTTGCTTAGTGCCTCACACTTCACACACCATGGTGTATGCACCTGTTTTACCCCGCAAGATCTATGTTCTCAATGTCGATGTATAAAAGTTTGGTTTGGTAGAGAAGCTATTCGGGATTACTAACCTCAAGAAGAACATTCTCGCGGCTGTTCAACACCAACTCATCAAAAGTCTTTCCTACCACAGTCACAATACTTGCATTTTCCTGCAGATTTCACCGGGTTTTATAACTCAATAAATGTGACTAGGAATATATACCCCGGCGTGAAGAGAGGATTATATATTTCACACTCACATTATCTGGAACTGGCTCTGACCTATAGTAACGTGAAACAGTTCCATGAGCAAGTCCTGAACAAAACTCCTAAATTGTAAATCGAAAAGAGGATCACATGAATCAGTTACTATATGAATATTTGAGGAGTAAGTCGAAAAGGCAAAAACAACTTCTGACTTCTATACTGTTTGGTGATGGATCTGATTCAAGCAAATACTTGGAGTTCAGGTTGTTATCAAAAGCAGCAACCTGTAGAAGAAAACTGATTAATCACATTTGTTTGTAGCTTTATTATCAGTAGATCACAAATTGTCAATCACGCAGACTGAAACAAGTATCCGAAACTTACGACAGTTTTATTTGCAACTTCTATCCCGAATAAAGTCAAGAATGGCATTGCAAGGTTCTCATTTGTTATATCGACATGTATAAACATCAGCTGCAAGAAAAAGAATAAACAGTTAAGATAGAGTCTAAAGACTAAATCTGTCAGGTCTTTCAAAATTCAGCATCAAAGAATTACCTTCGATTTAAATTTTCTTGCAATATCTTCAAGAGGCTGAGCAAGTTTCTGAAAATCATCAGCCTTGGAGAAGAGCATAACCTAACAAAGGAAGGAAAAAGTTCAGAGTTATGATTAAAACATAACCAAAAGTAAACAAAGGGAACCAAAACTTAGCAGATACAAACTGAAATCACAAAAAAAAAACTTGTAACCTGAAGCTTAACAGGACTGGAGTAAACCCAGACAGTATTGGTTTCAGTCAATTTTGTAATCAAAGGAAACTTGTTGCTTCCTAGAAACTCCAATATCTTCTCCATTTTGTAAGATCCATCTGCATTGCAGACTGGTGTTACCACTTCTCATGATATAGATAGGAAGGAAAAGATATGATAATAACAGAGAGGTATTCAAAATCAGTAGCAAGCTTACCATATACTGTATACCTTTCAGCCTCAGTTTTAACCATACCAATGAAGACATTGCTGGTTTTAGGGTCAGGAAAGAGAAGTTTAGCAACATCGCTGTTGCTTGTTTCTACAAACTGGATTTCATCGTCTGATTTTGCAGCTTTAACAAATTCATCATGTTCAGAACCCTAAGCAAACACACAACACACCTATCAACAATTACATTTCAAAACAAGTCTATACAATTCCCAGGTTTCAAATCTGCAGTTTCAGTATCCAAATACCTCAAGCTTCTCAAACAGACCAAGAACAAAAGTATGATACTTTTTCAGAAATCTCTGAGCTTCCTCAACTGTGTTAACTGTAATGATTGGTGCACCAGTCTTCTTTTGGACCCAGATGACTATATCCTCCCTGAAACATTGACCAGAACTCATAAACGATTCAATCAAAATCGAATTAAAACCCAAAATCAGAACTTTCCACAAAACCCTTTCAATCCCAACACTCCAAAACCTCATATTTATCCGTAAGTTGACAACAAAGAAGGCAAAATTGGAGATAACTTACGCAGACGATCCACCATTGTAAGTCTGAGAAGTGCCATTAACGAAGAGAAGAAGCGTAGGGAAACCATTAATCCCAAGTTCCGACGCGATTTTCGAATACCTATCGCCATCGATCTTAGCCATCAAAATCGAACTACCGATCTCTTTCAGAGCCGTCGCAGCCTCCGCGAATTTCGGCATAAGGTCAGCGCTTCTCGCACACCAAGGCGCGTAACCTAGAACCATCACGAACTCGTTCCCATCGATCACTCGTTTCGGGTTATCTCCATTGAGCTCAAGCACGATTCTCTGAGCTTTGCTCACTGTTTCGGCTTCAGATTGTTGCTCAGGTCGATCTTCTTGTAATTGCTCGTCTACTGCTAGAAGCTGTTCCAGATCGTCATCAGATCCGGGCTCGTTTGCTTCGACATTGGAGTCTGAAGATGAATAAGCGACGATGATTGCGAAACTGAGGAGTAAGAGGAGAATGAAGGTAAAGGTGGAGACTTTCGAAGTGGGTTTTGAAATTAACGACATTGCTATCAGGGTTTCTTTATTGCGTCGGACTGTGAACAGTGATTGATCGGAGAAGAGAAGAGATCGTCGTCAAATGAAAAAAAACCTTAAAATCTCACCAGGTTTTACGGCGGGAGCCAAGATAGACTCACATGTGTATCAGTGTATGTATGTGTTTGTTAGTCAAAAAAAAAAAATTGCTTTTTTTTGTTGCTTTGTTGCAAAGAAATATTTTAAGAAATACCAAAAGAAGATAGAACATTTTAGTAAATGGAAAAGTTAGAATTAATAATAAATAATCAGAATATAGTAATATACAATGTTCATATTTAATTTCATTTAAATAGAAAATAACATTTTATAGCCAAACAAAAATAAAAAAATACAAAGTAAGAAAAAATAACATTTCAATCTATTTAAAAAAGTCAGGAAAAAAACACAATGATAAATCAGGAAAAAACATTATGGTGGTAGTGTAAGTACTAAACTAGAAGTATAATTGTATTTAAATGTTTTCTAAATGTATCAACCTATAAAATAACTTCAATTTAGACTTAAGCATGGTAATTACACTTTCAAGAAAAATCAATAGTCTAATAGTCATAAGAAAATCAAACTCATCATTTGCATTAAAAAGCTTTTGAGAATTTTAAGATGAGATTTATTTTGGTTAAAAGAATTTTAAGATGAGATAATCTAATGCTTTGTGAAAATTGATAAACCTACATAAGACAAATGGGCCGCAAAAAAATCTTAATGGGCTTATAGAATCAAACAGCGGCACCGACATTTTCCGAAAATTGTGGAAGCATTTAGCAGCTAATCACAAATTATCTCAAATGTTATCTGTTAAAAACTAATTATTAATTATGCACCTCACCATCGTTATCCATTTTGAAGGTCAAAGACAAAAATACTTGGACACACGTAATAGAGAGACACATAATCACATATATATTACTCAAACAAGTCATTTTACATATTTTATTATACTCGTTTCTTCTTCCTTTTTAAAAATCTTCAAACTATCACTTAATTTTTTTTGCCTTTTTATCTTTGAAATTATCAACTTCTTTTTTGACTAATTTTTTTTTTTTTAAAAACAGTTGTGCTCGCTCGTTCTTGCAATTCATTTTTGGATTGTTAATTCTAATATATTTATCATTCTTGAAATTGGTTTCAAGAAAAAGATTTATCATTCTTGAAATCAAGAACTTAGAATCCAAGAACCCGTGAGGAAGTAGTTCAAATTTAAACTCAGTGAAGAGAAGACGACAAAGAACAGAGGTTAGGCACATTTCCCCACTATTTTTCTTTTCTCAAAGAGGAGACATTATTATTTATCTTTCGTATGGGTTTTACTTGTAAAGATTAGATTTTAAAGGAATCTTTTTTCATTTTGTGTCGTTTGGTGTCTATAAAGATACAAAGCTTTGCCTTGTCATCTTGTCTCAGAAGAGAGAATCTGAAAACACGTTTTGAGTTACTGAGAGAGGGAGAGATAGAGAGAGATTGAGAAGATGTTGGAAGGCAAAGCAATGGTGGAAGATTCAGATATGCCAGTGAAGATGCAGATGCAAGCTATGGCTTTTGCTTCTCAAGCTCTCGATCTTTTTGATGTCTCTGACTGTAAATCCATTGCTGGCCACATCAAGAAGGTTGGTATATATATAATAAACCCTTTCTTCTTTAACTCTAGCTATATATAATTCTAAGTCACAAAGACATCATTGTCATATTGGTTGGTTGATGTTGTTTCTTGAATGATGATGAATGCAGGAGTTTGATGAGATATATGGGAGTGGATGGCAATGTGTGGTGGGATCAAATTTTGGGTGTTTCTTCACACATTCTATAGGGACTTTTATCTATTTTCAATTGGAGACACTTAAGTTCCTCATCTTTAAAGGCGCTTCTACTCCTTAATTAATTCATTACACAAACCCCCTAATAAATCATTGGGGATGTAAAAGACTTATGAAGATCTTAGCTTTTGTTTGAATTCTAATAAGTCTGTAAATAGACTCAATTAAGAGTGGATGTTGTTGATTTCATTCATGTGGTGAGATCTTTCATTTTTCTTTTTACATGTGTTTGCTTTTGTCATCAATAAAAGTGGTAATGCCCAAAGATTTGTCTATATTCTATATTTGTAATGCAACAAAGTAAATAAAGAACATAATAACAAGTCCACCCACAATAGAATAGAGAAATTTATAGACTAATCCATCATTAGCATACTCTGTTTTTTTTCTTCTTTTTAACTCCTTTGGTAAATTCAGAGAGATGTCAAAACTGAGGAAAATATGAAATATCCCATAATCCCTAATTAACAGAGAAATAGAGTAATTATTTTAATACATCAAGAAATAAAGAACAATGATTACATATTGTAACATGTCCTCCTCGATAATTTTAAGACTTGTTATAATTATGTTTTGGGGTGTGTGGAGAATTGAATTTTCTAATAACGTGCATCCCACAATCCACCAAGTATCTATTTATAAATAGTAAAACATTCCAAGAAAAATTAAAAATATTTTCTCTTTTTTTTCCCTAAAGAATCTGACCACATTTCACTTTGTTTATGGTTATGGACAACGAATCATAATTTGTTACTAAAATAATCAATGAGGTTAAACTAAAACCATTAACAACAGAAGTCAAATAATTGTGTTCTGTATTTGCTAAGTCTGAAAATTCAGAATCAGTTTTTTTGGTTAATTAAGTTTGTTTTTTTTTTTGTCTTCGTCTCCAAAATCTCCTAAAACTCCTCTTTATTACACGAAGAGAAGACGAAAAGTATTAAAAAGAAGAATTCAAAACACATAAATCTTTACTTTTCTTATTATTATTCTTGTTTAGTATCTAATAATATGGATCAAGAACAAGAGAGCTACAAATCAAGATTGTTTCATTTCAAGAACATGAACGACAACACAGCTTCAAGACATGTTAAAAGCTGGAGCTCCGATTGTGCAATGAGGATGGATGGTTCGGATAATTTGGGAGATGTTGACAATGACATGATGTTTAGGAGTCAACCTGGGATGTATAGCAGCGTTGACCGACCTTCTTCTTTGCCTTTAGGCGGTACAACCCCTAACCGCAACGACAAGATTCCGAGGGTCGCTTCATCGGAATCCATGGAGGCACAATTACAAGCAGGTTCAAATCTGATCTTGATTTCTTGTGTAGCAAGTTTATTCAATGTTTTCTTCAACTATAAGCTAGGGCAAAATTCAAAGTTTTGACGTTGTTGTTGTTGTTGTTACAGCCCTTGAGCAAATGAAAGAGAGGTTTTCGAAGTTGCTTCTTGGAGAAGATATGTCAGGAGGAGGAAAAGGTGTTTCGTCGGCTTTGGCTTTATCTAACGCCATTACCAATCTTGCAGGTTAGACATTGTTCCCAAATCTTTCAGTTTCTTGGAATTTATTTTGTGTGTAACTTTTTTGTTGTTGTTGTTGTTGCAGCGTCTGCGTTTGGAGAACAAAGGCGTTTAGAGCCAATGGCTGCGGATAGAAAAGCGCGTTGGAAAAGAGAAATTGGATGGCTTATCTCTGTGGCTGATCATATAGTTGAATTCGCTCCAAGCCAACAAACCAACAAAGATGGATCTTCTATGGAAGTTATGACGACAAGACAAAGAACAGATCTTCTCTGTAACATCCCTGCACTTAAGAAACTTGATGCAATGCTCCTCGTAAGAACAACAACAACAACAACAGCACAAATATACTTATCAAGGGCTGTCTATATATATATTAGTCTTACATGTATATTCATACTTTTGTAGGACTGTCTTGATAAATTCAAGGATCAGGATGAGTTTTATTATGTCAAGAAAGATTCTCCTGATTCTGATTCAAGGAGTGATGAGAAATGGTGGTTACCGGCGGTTAAAGTCCCACCCAACGGCCTTTCCGAGATATCGAGAAGGTTCCTACAGAGCCAAAAGGAATGTGTAAATCAAGTCCTTAAAGCTGCAATGGCAATAAACGCCCAAGTTCTGTCTGAAATGGAGATTCCTGAAAGCTACCTTGAGTCACTTCCTAAGGTTTATTTAATAAAAACATAAACATTCATCAAGAATATGTCATGATCTGGTCCTTATATATGATGTTTTTGTGTATGGCTGAGAACAGAATGGGAGAGCTAGCTTGGGAGATGTGATATACAGAATGATAACATTAGAGATGTTTGATGCAGATCAGTTCCTTATTGAAATGGATTTATCATCTGAGCACAAGATTCTTGATCTAAAGAACAGAATCGAAGCATCGATTGTGATATGGAAGAGGAAAATGGTGCAGAAGGACACAAAGTCTCCTTGGGGATCAACAGTGAGTATTGAGAAAAGAGAACAGTTTGAAGAGAGAGCTGAAACAATCTTGCTCTTATTGAAACAAGGTTTTCCCGGAATCTCACAATCCTCGCTCGATATCAGCAAGATTCAATTCAACAAAGTAAATAAAAGCTCCAATTTCCACATATACATTTTGATTGTGTTTTCTTTTTGGTCTTAAGAAAAGCTCATTATTGGATTTTGGCTGTTGCAGGATGTAGGACTTGCGATATTGGAGAGTTATTCAAGAGTGCTTGAGAGTTTGGCTCACACCGTGATGTCGAGAATAGAAGACGTGCTTTACGCTGATCAGCTTACTCAAGAACCTACAAATGCACCTTCTAAGAACAGATATAGCCTGAAAGAGAACGAGAGACCTAAGGATGAAAGACTAAGTTTCTCAGAGGATTTGGCATTAGGAACACTTTCTGATGTTATGCAATGGGGCAATAACAAAAACAATGAACCGAAGAAAGAAAGCTTTTTTGGAGATCGAGAGAAACCGTTGTTGTCTAAAGTCACAGGTATTATGACAAACAAGAAGAGTTCTTATCTTGATTCTCTTGGAGGTATGAGGAGTCCAACCGCGCGATACTCATGAAAAACATCGGTTTCTTTTATCTTGTAAAAGTAGGTTGTTTGTTGCATTTTTCCATCTGAAATGATTCCACCATTGTATTGTAGCAGACTTCAAATGCAATTTCATTGATTCATTATAACTGATTCTCAGAATCCACTAGCTTACAAAGCATTAACAACAACACAATGTACATAAATCATTGAAAGGGTTCACAGAACTGGGAAGAAAGTTTCTGACTTTTTGAAGGGTTTAGAAAGCTAAATTTAAAGCTTGCCGCGAGGACCGAGCTTAGGCTTCTCTTGAGGACCTCTCTTAATGGGAAGAACATCGCCGGTTGAGTTGGCACTGACATAAGTAAGCAAAGAGCCTCCTCCAAGGATCAAAAACTTGAGAAGCAAACCTCTCTTTGTGAAAGGAGCAGCAAATGTCTCAAAGAACTTGCTCTGCAAGTAAACAAAGAAGAGAATCACAATCAAAAGTCTCATAATTTGAAGGAAGCATATAGATTTTTTCAAGGATTGAGAGTTTTAAAAAACCTGAAGTGGGTTGTAAGGAGAAGGAGCATCAGATCCATAGACATCCCATTGTCCTGTTGTGTTACCCAAATCTTCTAAATCAAAGTAAACACTTTTGTCTCCATACTTAGCTACCACAGCACCAGCTCTATACACAAACCCACAAAGTAACATCCTTTTTGAATACGAAATCCTCATCAATCTCAAAACAAGATTATTTCAAAGCTTTAGACTTTTTACCTGGTGGATTTGGGTTTGAAGCTTTGACGAGAAGGCTTGATGAAGAGCTTAGCTCCGGCGAGAGAGCTGCCTCCGAGTCCTTTCACGGCAGAAGAAGGTTGTACGGCGGCGATGGTCGCAAAAGATGCCATGTTTCTCTCTTTGGTTACCAAAGTGAGTGAGTGGATCTGTTGTAATTTGTATAGTTGGAGAATCTAAACTTCACTCATTTGATGGATCTTGTTCTGACACGTGGCGAATTGGGTTTTCATCTCTGAGATTTGCTATGCCACTTAGGACATGCCACGTGGATTATAAAAAGATAAGGCTATCTCTAATCCATTAACCAAAAACTTTCTTCGTCAAAATCTCTAAAGTTTCGATTTTTATTGCTCTGTTTTTTCTTTTGTCAGGTAAAACAAAAATGGCTTCGATCTCTGCAACGTTGCCTTCGCCATTGTTACTCACACAGAGAAAATCCAATCTCACATCGATTCAGAAACTACCCTTTTCTCTAAGCTCGAGCTTCTTAACGTCGAGCTTCCTTGTAGAGAAACGAAACCCTAATAGCAGCATCTCCCTTATGGTGAAAGCTAGTAAAGAAAGCTCAGAATCATCTACTGATCTAGACGTCGGTAGTTCGATTCAGAATGTTGTAAGTCCCTAAAACCCCTAAGTCACTCTGTTCTCAGTTTTACATATTTGCCTTTAGTTTTGATTTGGGAAAAATGTGAATTTGTTACAGTGGAATAACTCTGAAGATAGGTTAGGTCTTTTTGGTTTGGGTTTTGCTGGTATTGTAGCTCTCTGGGCATCAGTGAACCTCATCACGGTATAGTTCTGAAAAGACTTAAACTTTGTTATTCATGTTGTTAAAGTAGTGAGATTCTTTAATCACAAAGACTTGGTTCTTTTTGTTTTCCATTAGGCAATCGACAAATTGCCTGTTATCTCGTCCGGATTCGAACTAGTTGGTATCTTGTACTCTACGGTAAGTTGATATCATCAAGAAGTGTAAATGGATTATGATCATTCTAGCAATTCATTATTTTTTGTTTTTGTTTTGCAGTGGTTCACATATCGATATCTCTTGTTCAAACCAGACAGGTAGATTTTGTTTTCTTTAAATGTGGTTATGAAATCGAATGCAAGTTCTTTAATCTTTTTCTCTGATTGTTTTTTTTTTTTTTTAATAGAGAGGAGCTTTCCAAAATTGTCAAGAAATCAGTAGCAAATGTACTTGGCCAGTAAACGTTTGTGTGATCTTTGATTGCAATTGTTTGTAACCATGACAAGGGTTGTTGCTTCTAGTCCAATAATTACAATATATTTCATGTATTTGAAACCTGTAAATACTGTTTTGTGGGTTTTGGACTTTGGTTGTGAGCAAATCAATCATTTCGTACATAAGAGATCAAGATCGGACACTAAAATGACGTTTTAGCATGAATGGTGGAAAACTTTTAGTTGAATACAGTTCTGGTAAAATAATAAAGTTTTTTTTTTTTTTAGAATTTTTGAGAAATACCCTTTTTGGTGTACCCTTTTTTAAAAATACCTATTTTTCTATCCATTTTCAAAAATACCCCTTTTTAAATATAAAAAATTATAAAGTTTTATATAGTTTATAAGGTGTATTTCTATATAATAACTACTACTGGGAGATTTGATACAAATATTTTAAAATGTTTTAAATCGTTTTAAATCGTTTTTATAAGTTTTATAAGGTTTTTAAAAGGTTTTTAAAAGGGTTTATACGGTTTTATAAGGTTTTTATAATTTATTTTTACGCTATTTATGAAAGGTATATAAAGTTTTATACACATATAAAAGTAATTTGTGTATATATTTATAAGTTTACACACATATTTGGATAAATTTTAACGTTTTAGGGGGTTTTTTGATAAAGTTTGAAAATGGGTATTTGTAAAAAAAGGTATATGAAAAGGGGTATTTTTGAAATTCCCCCTTTTTTTTTGTCAATAACTTTACTGGATTAGACTATCAATAATATAATAAAGCTTAATTTTCAAAGTTAATAACTCGAGTGATCATGATTATATATATACCACATGCAAATGTATTTGTAATTCTCATTTTTTTTTATGTTAGCATATGACAAAATTTAATTAGGAGAATTTTTTTTTCCTACACATATCGAAATCTCACCTGTTCATTGACACATGTCGCAATCATGTTAATTACTAACTTCAAAAGATTTAGTTTATATAATAAGATTATGAACTCTAATTATGTTCCTTCTTTTTCTCTAATTTAATTTTATTTTTAATATATTTTCATGAAAAAAATTATGGTTGTGATTATTTTCTTCTTAGGGTTAGTAATTCACTATATTTTTGTATAATTTTTTAAAAAATTATAATCCTTTTACTATATAATTTCCTTGTTATGGATATATATATATATATATATATATATATATATATATATATATATATATATATATATATATATATATTTAAAGTAATATGTAATCCTTTTCGTTTTACCATTTGCTGTTTATTTTATAAGTTTAATTTTATATATATGTTATTTTTACATTTGTCAAATCTGATGGAGAGACTTAACATTGTGTCACGATCATGTGAGTTCCGAACTTTGAAACCAAACTCTAAATAATATATTTAAAAAAAAAATTGTTGTGATTTTTTTCCATTTAGAAAATTAGTAATTTACTACTGTAATCCTTTTAATATCTGTTTTTGTTAACAAAAAAAATATTTCAAAGAAGATCATCGAGAGCTAAATTAAAATCGTTTTTGCTCCATAGAGATGATGCAAGACGCTTCGGAGATGATGTCGTATTCGTCGAATTGGTGGTCGGATGTAAATGATTAGCCGATTTGGCAGGATAGGATCTTCTATGTCCTCGCTAATTCTCTACGGACTCGTTTCCATCTACTCTGTGGTACTACTACTACTACGTGCTTTTATATATTTCTCGTTCCTGATTCTTGAACTATCTTTGAAACATGTATTATATATATGTGAACTAGTCAATGTTTTGGTTTGTTAGATTCACCTTGTGAGAATACGCTCGCGATCTCCACATGATGGATGGACGATGCATAAGGTCTTTATCTTTCTCCATATCGGGTTGCATGGAGGTTTGGTGCTAATTGCTGGCTGCGAATTGTAGTTTTTAATTTCTGTGTGTTTTTGATTGATTTTATTGATTTTGCTAGCTCATCGATCGATCGTGTTCTATATATATCTCGCAGTTAGGGCTGTGGTGTTTGTCTTCAGGCGGAGTGTGTGGAACATGCATTCACAGGTGAAGAAGGGTCTTCATCATCATTCTAGTTTAATTAAGACTGTTTAGAATGCTTGCTTGTAGGTTTACAAAAAAAAAAAGAAAAAAAAAAAAGAATGCTAGCTTGTAGTTTTTAAATATATTTTTGATTTTAGCTTTTGAATATTGAAGTTTTTTTTTAATATCCAGTCAAGATTTTACAAAATAATTTTCCTATAAATATTTCATAGTTTGATTTAAAAAACTTTATAAGCCATGGATGCTTCTTGTAGTTTTGTAAATACTTTTTAGATTTTGGATTTGGGAATTTTTTATTTTTTTATATTTGTATTTTTATTATTGCGGGTTTTTTATACGAAGTTTGATTGGTAATTTTTCAAAGTTCTGGTTTAGTTATAATATTATTTTTATAATTTTGATCTCATATAGCAACTCTTTTATATATTTTCTTAAAAATATTATAACTGAAAAAGTCGGGATGAGTTTCTTAAATGTTTTAAACTTTTTTTTCATTTAAAATTGGTATAAACTTCAAAAAATACAAAATTCAGAAACCGATTTAAATTTTATTACAAATGTTTATGTCAGCCTTTCTAAATTAGCAAAAATTTGATGATTATGTTGTAGATTATGCAACATATCTTGCTTGATATTCCAAGTATTGGTTTCTTGACAACCTAGCTATGGTACTCTGATTCTCTTCTGGGCAACACTTTACCGTCAGGTAAGAATTCTGAATCTTATTATTCCTTTTTCCTTCTTTGGTTCTGATATTTTAGTCCACACTCTTTGACTACTGGATAGATTCTTTCGTTACCCACTCATGGACTAAAATCAAGCTTCTTCATAATAAATGCAATTGTATATGTAGTTCAGGTATATATAATTTTGTTTGTGAATTGTGATCAATCTAGAAGAAGTGTTTGTGATCAAAAATACTAAAGTGCATGCATGGGTACTGTATAACTTTCAGATATCTCTTTGGTTGGTTGTGTGGTGGAAGCCTGTTGGAGTAATTATGGTAATCATATCTAAGATGTTTTTAGCAGGTAATCTCAATTCATCCAAGAATGGTTGTTACACTGTAATATTGGTACTTTACTTGTATCAACTCTCTTGTAAATATAATTGTAGGTGTTTCATTGTTCGTTTCCCTTGGATATTTACTTTATGGTGGAAGGTACATTAACTAATCTGTCGCCTCTTGAATATGTACTACATTTTGAGATTTTGTAGCCACGAGTCCCTATTGAGAACCTAGTCATCTTGCTTTGGTGCTAATTAAAGCCGAGTACATTTGCGCACCAGCCATTTAATATGATCCTGCATTGGAGCTTGATTTTGTTTGTCCTTGTATATCTATCTTCCGGCAAGCTGAAAGAGGTGCAACATCAAAATTGTACATAATCACAGTGTAACCCAATCAAGTTTTACTATATATATTTATGGCGCTTCTTTGACTCTTTCCACTCTTTCTGTCTTATATATGTATGGTAGTTTGGTTCTGTGACAATCATATGCTTTACGTGTTTCCTCATCCGATGTATCATGGTAAAGACACACACACACACCTACACATGTTTATTTTGATATCTATTACTCCTGACCTTCTTGGTTAGATTTTAATTAAAATGAACAACTTAATTAACCAAAGGCTTTGTCATTTAATATGGTTTAGATGTGTGTTGCTGCTTTCTACGAGGGAGCAAATATTGATGAGATTGATCATCCAATTCTTAATCTCATATATTACGTGGTAAGCTCTCTATTAAACTAATTATATATAGAATCTTATCATAAATCTTTGTCTGATATATATAAGTACCATTGTTTCTGCTTGAAACCTAATCTTGTTGCTTACTTACAGTTGGTAGAGATATTACCGGTTTCTCTAGTCCTCTTCATCTTCAGAAAGCTACCACCAAAACGAGTCATGTACAAGAATGCTAATGATAAGACCATTTTTAATCCCAGAATTCTCTGAAGAATCTCAAGCTTTCTATAAGTTAGCTTCAGTAATCTTAGCTTTTGATGATCTTGATCATGGCCTCCTCCATTAATATTATATCTCATTTTGTCATGTAGTTAATGTATGATATCTTATAACGGTCTTGTAGGTGATGTATTATATATGTAGGAAATCACCCCAACAATAATATATGTGTAGACAATATCTTATATCTTAATTACATTTATAAAATTCTGAGTATCAAATTTAACCTACTAAAAGAAAAAAGAGATAATGATGGCATCATTGTAATATTATAAAAGTAAAAGTTGTTTTTAGTCTATTTATTTCGTGAAGATGCATAAAATAGCTAGTGACAGTTTTCTATATACTATTTGGAATGTACTCATACTTGTTGATTAACGTCACTTGCTGGAATGTACACATACTAGTCAAATCCCTTTTTATCAGTAATTTATTAAATTTTCTTTCATGTTCTTTTTTCCATATCTAGAGAACTTAACAAAATTGAAATTATAAGTTTCCGAATAAATTCTGGGTGTAGACAAAAATAATTATTTCTTCTATAAAGTTAGAAAAAAAAAAAACAATGTTGTATCAATCTAAAACTCTACTTGTACAAAAAAAAAAAATTCTTCTGTATGTAATTGAGTGTAAGACTAATGAATCTAATTAATTTGGGTTTTGCTCGATCGCAACTTGTTTTAGAAAATAAATATCAAAACGATAAGCTTGAAAGACGTTGACTTTAAATACGTCGACCGTTTAAAAGTCAAAGCTTAAATGTGAACTACATCATTCAAAATTTCTTCTTTCTTTTGGGAATATATATAGAAGTTAATTTCGTCGTTTTATATCAATAAGAAAAACTCAATTTTTCTATCGAATATTATTATTTGATTAATTTTTTTGTAGACAGCTTCTCCTCATCAACATCCTTCTATATAAATCAACCCTTCAAGTCATAACTTAGCTTGCTACACTTTACATATCAAACCAATGGGTCGTGTCACAGAGCACGAGGAGAATCCAAACAACGGTACACCGGTTCAGCAAAGAGGCACACCTAACCAGCAAACTGGAGTTCCGGCGAGTCAATTCGCGCCGCCAAATTATCAACAAGCTAATGTTAACCTATCTATTGGGAGGCCATGGAGCACTGGTTTGTTTGATTGTCATGAAGACCAAGCCAACGGTATTGTAATTCATATAAACTCTTAATACAAGTTTTAGCTAGGTATATATATTTCTTGCAAAAGATACCAAATTAATGAACTCCCTAATCTTTGAAACTTTGTGCAGCCCTTATGACAACAATCGCACCTTGTGTGACATTCGGACAAATAACAGAAGTGGTGGATGAAGGAGACATGAGTATGTTTTGGTTTACACAACTTGAAACCTAAATCAGATTCTTCACTAATAATACATAACTGATAGTTGAATTGTGTATGCAGCTTGTCCTCTTGGAACTTTCATGTACTTGTTGATGATGCCTGCTTTATGCTCACAATGGGTGATGGGATCAAAGTATAGGGAAAAAATGAGAAGAAAGTTTAATCTTGTGGAAGCTCCATATTCAGATTGTGCAAGCCATTTGCTATGCCCTTGTTGCGCTCTTTGTCAAGAATACAGAGAGCTCAAGATTAGGAATCTTGATCCTTCCCTAGGTACCTAACTCAAATCCTCATATTGATCAAATCAAATATGTACGTATAGTCCAATTAAAAATTGTTAATTAACTATAAGTGATTTTTATATAATTACAGGTTGGAATGGGATACTTGCTCAAGGACAATATGGGAGTGAAGCACCAACCTTTGCTCCTACCAATCAATATATGTCTAAGTAGACATTTTGATTTTAGTTGACCCTCCAAATATTTGTTACACATTATTTGCGGAGCATTGTAAAATGCAAGTGTGCTATGTTAAAAAAAGTTTGCAATGCAAGTGTGAGATTGATTACGTTTTCTTTTTTTTCTTTTCTATTTGTTGTGTTGTAGCTATCATCTAAACACCTGTTCCACCTCTGTGTTTTCTGAATAGCAATAAAAAGTTTATTTGTTTTGTGTTACCACAATGAATGTGAGAGTAACTATGTTACATCGGTCTAAATAAAACTTTCTAGTTTGTTTCAAATTTGCTAAAGTAAACTGCCTGTTTTGATCGTCGAAGACATTATAAATGGATAAAAGTTAAAGTCAGAAATTTGTATATAACGTAACCTCTACACCAATCTATCATAGTCAACTCTATTGCAATAATTAAAATTCAACGGTCAAATGATCACTTATTCACTTCCATAATATAATATAAATGATCAGTTCCTCAAAACTGTTTCAACGACTATGACTGAGACACCGTTTCAATGTTACCCAAAGTCAAAGTCAATCTTGCTTCTTCTTCAAATATATATACAACTGTACAATGGTATATATATTTTAATATCTTATTTAAAGAGAGAAAAATTTGGCTCCCAATATATTTACAATGGTTCTACTTGCACATACTAATTAGTCAAATCGTCATGTTAAACAATCATAAAAGGATATTTCCGAGAGAGTTCAAGTGTTTTGAGAATCCATATCTTGACTTTGTTTTTCTCTATTCAATTCGTCGCTTTATTGCATGGTAAACCTTGAAGTTTTTGTGTTGCCAAAAGGGCATCTTCCGAGAAAAAAATACAAATAAAAATGGATTTGAAAGAATTTGCCAACCAAAATCCTAGATGTAATCCTCTATATATATATACTAAAACTATCGAAATAAATTGAAAGACAAAAGCTTTTGAAGTTTGGCGTACAGTTGGATTCGGTATCCCAAAGTTTGTGTCTTTGTATCATGTCCACATATTTTCTATGTAGGGTTGCCAATAAATAGTCACAGGACTATATATGATGACAGCACAAAATGATCACCTAGTTTGATTTAAATAGCAAAAAGCTTCTCTTCATTCCCAAAAACTAAAAGATATGGAAGATTCATGCATCATCAAAACGAGAACGTACTTAGAAGAGCTAGCCAAGGATAAAAGCCATTCCTACTTTCCCAGTTTCATCCTCGAAGGTCTTCAAGTCATCCATGTTGCAACAGGGTTCGTTCAGTGTAAATTGACCGTTACACATCACGCTTTGGTAATTTTTTTCACTTCTTTTTTTGGGGTGAATGATTACATGCATGCATTAATCTTTGATAAAAATATACTTTTGGTGTTCTAATAAATGGAGTTACGTTGTATTGTATCATATTCAGAATGAAGATGGGAATTTTCACACAGCAGCAATAGGTGCGCTAATGGAGTTGATGGGAGCAACCGCGGTGTACTCAGTTGGAGGATCTCATGCCTCAGTTGATCTCAACTATTCATTTTACTCGACCACCGCCAAGATTCAAGTTCGACTTTTCTGATCGTTACTAATATTTTGATTCATTACTTTACATATTATACTAATTAACATTTTAATGATATACTATATGAAAACACATGTACAAAACTATATTTAATGACGGGCTTGGCGTTTTGGATTTTTTGTTTTTATTCAAAAGATTAAAAAAAAAGAGAGATTAATTTCGGTTTCAATGAATTTTTTCTTATGCAAATTGAAAAAAACAAATTTGATTTAATTTTTGGTTTGTGTCTATTAAACTATAATGGACTGATATCTAATTTGATAGAAACATGAGTATCGTTTTGTCTTTGTCTTTTAGTTGCTAGTCAAAATCACATGTCATATAAACACATATTTAACGTGATGACAAATCTAGGAAGAAGTAAAGATGGAAGCAAGATTAGTAGGTAAGAGGGAAGATCTAAACTCAGCAACAATTGAGATTCGAAGAGATTACGATGAAGAACTCATAGCCACAGGTAGATTATGGATGAGGCTATTGGCGACACCAATGAACCTAGATGTCAAACACAATGGTGTCGATCAAGTTAGCAAGCTTTAATGGCGGCTCCAACCAAATCCAATATTTACCCAATACCCAATATATGAACCATGTCCTATGCATACAACTGCAAGTGGTATGTAAGATATATAATGTGTTTGGACATTACATCAATGTTAGACTATTACATCAATGTTACATCAATGTTAATGTGTTAGTACTCTTACATATACATCAATGTTAAATATATGTTACGTCTTTATTGATTCTAGATATGTGGTGAAGCATTCTTATGGTATCTTGTCCAAAATCTTTTGAAAATTGATGTTGACTCTGAAATATAGTAATAGACCCATATTGAACCAAAACTAGTTTAACTTTTGAACATGAAAATAGTTTAAAAACGAGATTAAAAAATAATAATCAAGTTCGTTAAATTTGATCAGATAAGAAAATAATCGTCATCATTTACAATTAGTTTCAAAAAATAAAAATAAGAAAGCTATAATTTTTTTAATCAACTTCTATAAGACCGTAGTGTTTGGTTTATACTTTATACATCAAAATATGCATGGCTATGTAATAAAATTAGTCTTACGTTTTTAATAATTTTCATTATAAATTCGTTTAATAGCCCATTTTTGTTAGACTACTACATTTCCATGATGATCACTTAAATTTTTGTTTTTTTGTTCTCTACAATTAAGATCTACAGGCTTCAACAATAAATTCATTTTCCTTTTGAATATAAGAAGCCAAACCAACAACTAATTGTGTATATACAAAGGACTCCATGAATTTAACACACACAAAAAAAAAAAAAAATACAACAAACACTTGGCTTGTATACACTGCCAAAAACCATTGACCTTTTCATCAATAAAAAAAAACTCCCTAATTAAAACACAAACACATAATATTCAATCTAATTACAAATCTACATAGAACTTAATTTAACACTTAATAACACCACACACCAATGCAATAAAATATAATTTCCTATAGTTTCTTGCTTCCTTTATAGACAAAGTACAACAAGCCATGCATGACCTATGAAACTTTAATTGGCTTTAGTAACAGCACTTAAATCTTCCTTCTCGTAGCCTTTCCCAACAATATCAAGCAACTCCTCTTCCTCTCTCACACCATTAACTCTACCATTCCTCACCTGGTCTACCAAAGGACCATACGACCAGCTACATATCACGTAGTATATCACATTGACGAAGCTCATTATCGCGAGTACCCAATAGTAATAGTTGTAATGACCTTTGTTAATGTTGTCTGAAACCCAACTCTCTTTACCATTTCTTGAGGTTAGTTCATTGACTGCATTCAGGACCACGCTTGCCAATAGACTAGCCACAGCCATTCCTAGACCGAAGAGAGAAGCCGCAATGCTAGACATGCTTTTAGGAAACTCGGTGTAGAAAAACTCAGTCTGTCCTATTGCGGTAAGAGCCTCTGCTAGTCCATGTAGCACATATTGTGGCACTAGCCACATAGCTGAGATGTCTACTACAGCATTGGGATTGTTTCCATACCCTTGGCTTATAGCTTTGTTCCTTCTGAAACTCTCAACCATTGCAGAAACCGCCATAGCTAAGAACGACATGAATAACCCTAATCCCATTCTTAGTTTAACGCTGAGTCGAAATGGTCTGCCTCGGATCTTTGAAGCTAATGGGAGAACTGCACGGTCATAAAGAACCACCCACGTGGCGAGAGCTATGATTGTGAACATACCGAATGATCCAGCTGGAACTTGAAAGCTTGAACCATGCCTGCTTAGACGCCTGTCCATGGAAGTCGCTTGTAGCACCTGAAACGTACTTTGGCTAGTGTTTATGGACATCATTATGCCTGTGGACCATATCGGTATAACTTTGATCAATGCCTTAAGCTCCTCTACTTTGTCTGTTATGCACAGCCTCCATGGATTCAAAGCAAACCCATCTGACCCAATCTCTTCCTCACGGTTACTTATCAAACAAGCTTTGTTCAGAAACCTATACAAAAGAAAATCAAAATCACCTCAAATATGTTTCTTTTATAACAAAGCTTTGTTCAAAAACGTAATTTAGAAGGGGAAAAAACAGTAGATCATGTTTCTATTATTACAGGGTTTTTTCAAAAACCTAATCAAAATATAGTATGCAAGAAAAGAGAGAGTGTTATGTTGCTTGTATAACAAGATTTGTTCAAACCCCAATCAAGAGAAAGTAAAAAGTGCATTGATCATGTTTCTAGTATAACAAGCTTTGCTTGAAACCTAATTAAGAGAGCATGGTCTTTCTTGGTTGTAAAGTAATTAAAAAACGAGACTTGAAGAAATATAAGTATATACAGTAGTATTAATACCTTAACTTTTGACTTGGAGCTTTGATTTCAGAATCTTTCATGTGATAGTAACAATCAACGGAGTCATGATGATCTGGTAAACTTAGCTTCCTCTTCTTGTAAGCTGCAACAACCACTTGAGCTAAACCAGTGAAGAGACTCTTGGTCACACCGCGTGTAACATAGAGAGGAGACGCGAGAACGAATAGCAAAGAAGCGACCAACATGAGGAGCGCAGGCACTCCAAACCCAATTTTCCACCCGAGATGCTCCTGAATGTATACAATCCCCGTGAACGCGATGAGAACAGCCACAGCTGATGAAGCATAGTACCAACCAAAGAAACTCTCGAGAACTCTTTCGTTCTTTGGGTTCTCTTTGTTGTCTAGTTGGTCAGCTCCAAAGGCTAAGGAACATGGTCTAATCCCACCTGACCCGATCGAGATAAGGGCAAATGCGGAGTACAAAAGAGCCAGCTGAGACGCGGTTGCTGATCCACAATGGCTTCCAGCTGCTGTGGGATCGCAAGGAGATGGCTTCACTTGTGGTAACATTGCAGTTAACCATAAAAGCACCATTCCCTGTGGTATGATTCAACAATATGATCATTAATTAACTGAACCGGATTAGTTTGAGCTAATGGAACGCTAACAAAACATTACATATATGTCGTGACGTTAAGCAAACAAACATCATGTCGTGTTATATAATGAGATAAGAACTTCCAAGAAGAAAAATCCAATGCAACAAAAACCGTGGCCATGAGCACACGTTGGTAGGTCGAATGTTAAGTCATATGTCATTAACCCTACCAAAAATTATAATAAGAAAGTTGATTGCGATGAATAATTGTACCAGCAGGTCAAATCAATCATGTAACGCAATGTAAACATATGGTTTTTATCAAGTGGATGAATAAAATCAAATTAAGATTAGTGTCGATTTGAATCGGACAAGTTGTAAAAAGTATGTACACGGTTCAAAAATTGCTTAAGCCTACCAAAACAACAGCTCTATGCTATATAGCCTACAAACAATCAAGCTTGGCCCCATAACCAAAATAATTCAAAGTCTCATGCTGTGGCCTTTATGAATTGTGTCTAATCCCGTTTAAATAGACTTAAATCGAGAAATATGTTTTGTGGTCTCATTCCATCTAAGTTAAAATGAAACATAGAATAAAAGTAGTATTTTTACGACGCTAATAATATTTCTTTATTTATGAAACAAAGCAATCGAACTTTTTTTTTAAATATATCTCCAGTATACTTAAAAAAGGAATATTGTCACATCAGAAATTATAGTTTTGATTTGTGGTCACTCACACAACTTGCCAAAGGACATTTTGAATTAGTAATATCTTTTTAGAAAGAAAAAATATCAGAAAACTCAGAACACATGGAACTGCCATGCTAGGAAATAAATTCGAAAATGACTTTTTTAGTGTAATAACACAAAACATAATAAGAAAACAAATAATGCAGCAATGTCTCACACAACTCACAAGTCACATGCAACGCGTGAAATTACTAAATTAAACTGTACAATATTATTACTGTTTAATGTATTCTAGATTCATATATATTTTAATTGAATACTATATAATATGGCGATATGAATAAAGAAACAACCTATGCAATGGTACATCAACGACGAATATGTCGGAAATTAAATTATTCTGGTCCAATATTAACTTTATGTTCAAATATTCAATATTTTCCTTTTTGGTTTGGTTATAAAAATTAACAAATAAAAAACCTCGTACCACTATACTTCAATAAATTCATTATCTAGATGTTGTAAAAATATAAAATTCTAAACTTATATTAGATAATATAAAAATATATTTTTCATATAGACAATAAAATATGATATAACGTAAAAAGTATATAGTAAAAAAACACTTTTAAAAAGAGTTGTCAGTTCTCCAAAATCATCAGTTACAGATTCTTCTTATCAGTCTTAATGACAAGTAGTGGAAAGCTAAACCGAAAATTTCAAACCAAAATTTACCATCAAAGGAAGTTTAAACCGGTTTGGTATAAGAAGAAGAGATGAAGGATTTACCAAGAAACTGGAGAGAGAAGCAATGGAGATGGTGAGGAAGCGACCTAGATAGGAATCAGAGAGGAAAGCACCCAAGAGAGGTGTGAAGTTTGATGCAGCAGACCACATGTAGAGCACATTTGTTCCTTTGGCCACTCCAAACCTGTAATCTCTGATCAAGTACAGAATCATGTTTGGTAATAGTCCATAACTCGCCACTTTCTCGAACGCCTCGTTTGCTTCACCACCATCACAAAACACAATTAGAGATCGATCTTAATTATGAAGAATCAGACCCAAAAAAAGCAAAGAGAGAGTTAAAGATTTTGTGAAAATGTATTTGCTACTAGTACCTATGATGAAAGGCATAGTGATGATTCCACCCTTGGTTCTTTTGCCTCCATTGGGTTGGATTTGCTTAGCTTCTGTTTGATCCGGAGGGTTCTCCATTTCTTGAATGTGATCAAAAACACCAAGTCTAGTACTGGAACAAGTCAAGAAGAAGAAAGAAGAAGAAGAAGAGGAAGTGGAAGATCTTGGTCTTTGCAAGTGATTTGAGAGAGAGAGAGAGATAGAGCGAGGAATGTGTGTGTTACACTTCCGCGAGGAGTGGACAATTAATACTAGTAACTAACGCCTATAGGGGACAAGAGGAAAAATACAGTAATTGGAAATTAAAATAAATTAGAATATGAATCTTTTCATTTTAGATTTGTATTATGAGATTTTTTTTTAAAAAAACATTAATGACGTCGATTCCAATAATTAGAAATAAATACTATTCGGATAAAACTTTCTGTTCTTGTAGTTGTGCTAAAAGGGAATGTTATCATTTGATTAGATATAATACTATTTACTCCTGTATTATTTTTGGTATTGTTGTGATGTCATTGCACAAATTATAATCCTCATAATGCATTTTATTGACTAAATACATGGTAAAAAAAATTGTTTTGTTGACCAATTAATTAATTCGCATTTTTTTTACAGTAGATTAATTCGCATTTTGTACCTATTTTGTTGACAAAAAATGATATAATTGTTAAATTTACTGACCTGGTAAAATATTACTGAAAAATAGAACAGGTGAATTAGTCTTAAAAATTAGATTTGTGAGATTTATTCCTAAATCAATTATTAATCTAAGTAAAATTTTTAATATTTTTAGCTCACATATGAATATTTTAATTTTATGAGACGATACATTTTCATATTAATATTTTATGAGTCGATACATTTTCATATCAATATCAACTAAATATTTTGTTCCTAATCAATTTCTAGTCAAACCATTGGTTTTCTTTTGTTCTATTAAGTATTTGTTATTGGATTACTATTCATAATTATTTAATAAGAATCAGTTTCAGATAAACTTTTACATAATTTTGAGTAAGTTTATTGTAATTTACAAATCTGTTATGTTCAGCAATTTTTGTTATTATTATTTAGGTATTTAAGTATTTTTTTTTTAATCTCACATTTCATCTATTTCAAAAAAAAAAAAAAAGGTTCTTGCCAACTATTGCTCTAATTTTGAATATTAAAATAATTATTGTACATTCGTATTAAGTTTATAAAACATACTAAAACACACAAACACATCCATTCGATATCTAACTCTAAATTATATCGCAGAGTCAAATCTTTTTCAACCCAATTAATATGAAAATAAAAGTTTTGAAATCATATACATTATCTTTAGATTTTCTAATCTATTATTATGTGTTTATGAGTTATGTCGGATGATATCGCATTAAACGCTGCTCCAAACATTGATAGCCAAAAGAAGTGTTTACTGTTAAGATTGTATGAAAACATCATCATCTTTTTTTCAAACTCTCTTCCATCTCATCGCTTTATACAATAAATAAACGAAGAGTAGATAAATAGATAAGCTTTCACATCGAATTAAAATGAAAAAAAGGAATATGGAACAAAATCATAACAAAAGTATCGAAATTATTGAGCCAAAGCCTAAAAACATCCCATGAGCTTACCACCTTTTCTTTTCATTCGCTGTCTCTCACTTCTTCTTCTTCTCTTATTAAGGACTTTTCTATAATTTAATTATTATCTACTAGTATTTCCTCTCTTATTCTTTATCCTTTAAAGAAATAAATGCCTTATTAAAGTTAGTGCAATCATATTCCAGAAAAAAAAAAAAAAGCTTTAGTTCTGGTTTCGACCCATCAGTCATTTACTCACAAGTCAATCTTTAGCATTCAACACTCTGACAGAAAAAAATCAATAATAGATTAGGCTCTCATAGATTAATAATTGTTGAATAAATTTGCAAGTTTTACAATAACAATTTATCATCCTTTACACATTTTGTCGAATAACTCTATTATGTTTTTGTTACGTTATAAAATAACCTAGTATAATAATGTTGTGGCCTGTGGGGGGGAGAAGTATTTCAATAGAGTTACAATAATGCAATTCAAATGTGAAAAAAAATTGAAGAAATAAAAAAGAAAGGTGACAATGATGCGAATGAATGTGAGAGTGAGTCTTTAAAAAGAGAGAAAATATTTATTATGACTTTATTCATTCCCCTTGCACGTGGGTGTCGGATACTCTGAAAGCTCTTTTTTTTCTTTTGGATATATACACTCTCTAGTAGTATAATAATACCTTACTAAATTCGACTTTTATTTTATTGATTCGAAATTTCGAATGATATGTATTATTTTGTTATGGTCCAAAGTAGTAATAAAACAGTAGTTCTTGAATCATTTAACCACTCCAACGATGGAAAAGACGTGTTTTTTTATATATGACAACTTTCGTTTTAGCTCTGAATGAGACATTTTTCATTCCCAAAAAAAAGAAAAGAGAACTGCATGTGAACAATCTCAAGAAACTAGCAATCTCAACAAGCAATAAATTTTATATATATTAGAAAACATTGTCATCTAATGTGAAATGAAGATAGAGAGTTGAAAAAAGAAAAAATAAAACAAAATAAAACAATATATCACAAGAAACTCATAGCTCATGCAGCATAATTTCGGAAATTGCAATTGTAAGTTTATATAACAGAAATATCAACATCTTAAACCTAAACTATGATTTATAGAGAAATCATTCGTGCTATTATTACTAGGGAAACTTTTGTTTATACGAAAGCCGAAATTAAACCAACTAATTAAGTTCATGGACATGTTGGTGAAAGTGTAAACTGAAATTGAAAGATTGTTTCTTTTTTATTTCTCAATACTTAAAACCACATTACAGAGAACATTGCTCTTATATAGAGATACAAAGATGTTTAACCTAGTCTCTAGATTGTTCTCTTTGTCTCTTACGTGTCAGCATTTCCATCACTTGAGTTTAGCACTTCAAATCTGTTCTTTGTCTTTACTTCTGTACGACCTGCAACATCTCTGCTTTTTGGTTTATTTGCAGAGAGATGTTGAACGACAGACTTTGGCGCGTGTTCAATTGATGCTTCACGTATTGGGCTTGGATTGGGCTTTGGTGTTCTACGGCCTGCTAACGGAGTTATGTCGTTTTGAGTTGCAAACTTGTTTTGAATCTTGTTCGTGTTCCCCCCCCCCCCCCCCGCAAACTTGGAGTAGGTGGAACATCAACACCGAGTTTGAGCCGAAGATCTTGAAAAGCAGCCTCTGGTAAGGACTTTGTAAAGATATCAGCCAGTTGGAGATGAGCTGGGATGTGATTAACAATCAAATCACCGAAGGCAACTTGTTCACGAACATAGTGGTAGTGAGTAGCAAAGTGTTTGGTACGAGCATGGAAGCTTGGATTGGCTGTGAGATAGACTGCAGAGAGATTATCACAAAAAAGCTCTGGCTTCTCATATTGTGGAACACCAAGGCTTTTAAGAAGATTGACCAGCCAAGTAATTTCAGAGCTTGTATCTGACATAACTCTGTATTCTGCCTCCGTTGAGCTTATGGAAACTGTTGGCTGTTTTCTTGAAGACCATGAGATGATATTGTCACCTAAGAAGGTACAAAATCCTCCTGTAGATCGTCTAGTAGCCTGACATCCGGCATGATCACTGTCACTAAAGGCTCTGATCTTGCAGTTTGTGTATTTTGTGAAGGAAATCCCCATGGTGATGGTGCCTTTAATGTACCTTAGGATCCTTTTTAGAAGCTGGAAATCAGAAACTGTAGGAGCATGCATCTTTTGGCACACATAATTGACAGAAAATTGCAGGTCTGGTCTTGTAAGAGTCAGGTACTGAAGCTTTCCTGCCAAACTTCGAAAATATTTTGGATTTTCAAAAGGAACAGACTGGTTAGGAGTATTATCAAGCTGCTGTGGCAGAGGTGTAGAAACTGAAGCACATGTTGACATTGCTGCAGTAACTAGCAGATCTTCTGCATATTTTTGTTGAGATAAAAACAAACCGTCTTGATGAAAATGAGCTTGTATTCCCAGAAAATAATGTAGCTGTCCCAGATCTTTCATTTTGAATCGTTTGTTGAGCTCACTGAGCAATGAAGCTAGCAAAGAAGAAGAATTCCCAGTTATGACCATGTCATCAACATATAATAGTAGCATGATTACATCTTTGCCTTTTACACACACAAATAGAGAAGGGTCTGGAATGCTGCAGATAAAACCAAATTCAAGCAAAAAATTGCTAAATTTATCAAACCATGCCCTTGGAGCTTGCTTGAGCCCATACAAGGATTTGTGCAGTAAACATACATGATCTGGATAATCTTTATTGATGAATCCTGCTGGTTGCTTCATGTAGACTGTTTCAGTGAGATCTCCATGTAGAAAAGCATTCTTGACATCCATTTGTTTTATTTCCCAGTTAAAAATGGTGGCAAGATGCAAAACACTTCTGACAGTTGCAGTTCTGACAACAGGGCTGTATGTTTCAAGATAATCAATACCCTCTTCTTGTTTGAAACCCTGAGCAACTAATCTAGCTCTATACTTATCAAGAGATCCATCAGCATTTAACTTGATTCTGAAGATCCATTTTGACCCTAGGACATGCATATCAGGAGAATAAGGAACCAAAGTATAAGTGTTTGTCTCTTTACATGTTTCCATCTCTTCGTTCATTGCTGCTGTCCATTTTGGGTCTTTCAATGCCTCAGTAACTGTGGTAGGCATATGGTAAGTAACTTTGTGAGCTAGAAGAGCATACCTTGGATTAGGCTTAGAGATTCCATCTTTTGATCTTGTTGTCATCGGGTGAGTAGAACCTTGAGTTTCTCCTGTTGCGTGATGATCTGAAGTAGCAATGCTAGGTGATGATGAAAGAGCGATGTTGCCTATAGGAACAAGATCAGAGCTTGCCGTACACCCAGTACACTCGTCACCACCAACTGACATTGTTACTTCAGCATTTGTTACATTTTCAGGAGTTGGAGCAGAAGCTTGAGAAATTGCAGAAACTGCAGATGTTGAAACTGCAGCATTTGAATTTTCTGGTTCAGAAACTGCAGGGACTGAAATCTCTGGTTCTGAAACTGCAGATGTTGTACTTTGAGCTTGGATTGTCGAATTAGAATCACGATCTGTATGTGGAACATGACTGACAACACCTTTGAGCCAAGCAGTATACAACGGTGTTGGTGCAAACTGCTCGCTGTTCTGATAAGTACTTGCAAACGGGAAGGATTTCTCATCAAATATAACATGGCGACTGAGATAAACTCGGCCTGTAGGAGGGTAGTAACATCTGTAGCCCTTGTATTTTTCAGTATATCCCAAGAAGATACACTTAAGAGATCGTGGATCAAACTTGTTTGCAGCATATGCTCTGAGAGTAGGAAAACAAGCACAACCAAAAACTCTTAGAGCTGAGTAATTTGGAGGATCTCCATGAAGAGCTTCATAAGGGCTTGATTTTGTAGTTAAAGCACTTGTTGGAAGGAGATTACAAAGAAAATTGGCAGTGAAATAGGCTTTAACCCAGAAGCTTTGAGGAGTATGACTTTGAAACATCAGAGAGAGAGCCATTTCTGTTAACTGCCTATGTTTTCTTTCTGCAAGACCATTCTGCTGAGGAGTATGAGGGCATGAAATGTAATGTTGAATACCAGACTCTTGAAGATGGTTGAGAAATCTTTGACTTATAAATTCACCACCACCATCAGACTGAAAAATTGCAATTTTGTGTTGCTAGAGATTTTCAACAAGAAGCTGGAACTTGATGAATATTGAACAGAAATCAGATTTTCTTTTTAATGGATAGAACCAACAATATATGGAGTAGTTGTCTATAAAGACTGCATAAAATCTGAATCCTTGAATAGAAGAAACAGGAGAAGGACCCCAGAGATCACAGTGAACTCTCTCTAGAGGTCTAGAAGCTACAAAGTTTGAAGAATTAAATGGCAATCTTAAACTCTTCCCAAGCTGACATGATTCACACACCTGGCTGGTACTTTTATTAACTTGAATTGCCTTATTTGCAGAGAGCAGTTGGAGAACTTGAGCATGAGGATGTCCTAGCCTTTGATGCCACACTTCATCACTGGTTTTGACTTGTCTATTTGAATAGAACACCCTGTACTGTTGGTTCTCCAATCTGTAAAGACCATCACTTTCCTTTCCCTTTGTCAGAACTTGGCGTGTTGCCTTGTCCTTAATAACAACATCATCAGAGTCAAATGTAAAAGAGCATGGATAGTCTTTAGTCATTTTAGAAACTGAGAGCAGTGACTTAGCAATTTCAGGGCAAACCAAAACATCATAAAGTGGAAGGTTACCTGATGTTGAAGGAAGCTTAGCTGAGCCAATGTGAGTAATGGGAAGAAAGTTTCCATCACTGGCCATAACAGTATCATTGCCATAATATGGTTGAGCTTGCTGAAGTCGTTGAGGACTACTTGTGATGTGTGCTGTAGCTGCAGAATCCGGATACCAACTACCATCATCAGTCACATCTGTTATGTGCAGAGCAGAGAAAGCTGCAGCTGTGTTCTCAGAGGCCTGATAACCGTCATCAAACATGTACCAACAATGAAGAGCATGATGACCTCTTTTACCACATATCTGACATGTTGGACGTTCGGTGGAGTTGGAACTTTTGCTGGATGAGCTGTTGGAGGAGAACTGTTGGTGAAATCCTCTTCCCCTTGTTGAGTAGTTTCCTCTTCCTCTACCCATGTTTCCTCTTCCCCTTGTCTGAAAGTTTGAGGCTTTGACGGTGTTAAAGGCCAAATGAGGAGAAACTTCAGAGGTAGTGGAGTAACTTTGCAATCGATCTTCATAACCAGTCAAACGGGAGATCACATTATCATAAGTTGGAGCAGGACTGCGATCCATAGAGTCTTCAATCACAGTGATAATAGGTTCATAATCACGACTTAAACCTCTTAAAGCTGCAAAAATTTTCATCTTTTCACTAACCGGATCCCCTATAGAAGCTAACTGATCACAAATATCTTTGATTCCTCTAAGATATTCTGACATGTTCTTATCTAACTTTTCAGCATTTTGAAGACGTCTCTGAAGTTCAAATAACCTAGAGGAGGAAGTGCGATTGAAGTGAGAGATTAACGTTTCCCATACCTCCAGGGCAGTTGTGGAGCCAATGACGAGTCGCAGCACATTTTCACTCATGGATCCAAGAAGCCATGCCTTCACAACTTGATCGGATCTAGACCAGCTTTCAAAATCTGGGTTGGAGATGTCTTCTACGTTCCCGTCATTTTTGTTGCGGATAGGAATCGTTGCCTGAGGAGCAGGAGTGGCGCCATTGACGAAACCGAGCAGACCTTGAGTACGCAGGAATGACTCAAACTGAGACTTCCAGATGATATAGTTTTGTTCTGTGAGTTTTATGGTGACACAGTTGGAGATGTGTAGAGAAGGTGACGAATAGAGATCCATGGAAGTGTCCATGGCTCTGATACCATGAAAGTGTCCATGGCTCTGATACCATGAAAGTGTAAACTGAAATTGAAAGATTGTTTCTTTTTTATTTCTCAATCCTTAAAACCACATTACAGAGAACATTGCTCTTATATAGAGATACAAAGATGTTTAACCTAGTCTCTAGATTGTTCTCTTTGTCTCTTACGTGTCAGCATCTCCATCACTTGAGTTTAGCACTTCAAATCTGTTCTTTGTCTTTACTTCTGTACGACCTGCAACATCTCTGCTTTTTGGTTTATTTGCAGAGAGATGTTGAACGACAGACTTTGGCGCGTGTTCAATTGAGGCTTCACGTATTGGGCTTGGATTGGGCTTTGGTGTTCTACGGCCTGCTAACGGAGTTATGTCATTTTGAGCTGCAAACTTGTTTTGAATCTTGTTCGTGTTCATAGTTGGTTCGTAAGAAAACTTCTTCGATCAAACGTCACTATCCTCACAAGCTTGAAGATGGTCTTCGGATCTAGTTTGAACTAAGAAACTAAGTTCTCTAATTTCAATTTCTCCAACACAAACTTTATTAAAAATTTAACACTTTGGTTAAGGATGGTTTTTTGGTTTTTTGGTTTTTTGGTTGACTAAATTTAACGTTCATTAAAAAAAAATAAACCAAACATAACACATTTTTTTCTCGAAAAAAAACAAAGAAAAAAAGAACTAGAACAATAACTTTTTTTCTTTTACATAAATGAAAATATATATACAGTATATATTGTTACATAATAATTGAAAATTCGATTGTACACAGTATTTTATTGGGGGAGCACAAGTCCACATGTGTGGGTATGTGCATATGATATGTATATTGTAATGTTTGTGGATAGGTCGTGGAGAAGACTGTAGAATATGATATTATGAACAGTTTGAATACATTAGAGCAACATTAACGGGCCATCCGTTCGGGCCTTCGGGCATTTGTTTATTGGATTAAAAGGGAAACAGTTAAATTGGAAGACCCATCCGTATGCTCGGGAAGACTCGATTGTATCCGAGTCTTAGGCCACGTGGGCGAATATGATTGGTTCCATTTTTAGGTAAAGAAATAAGTTTTTTCTTTTCTCATTTGTCGGAAAAAACGAAAAACCCCAAATTCGAGTCGTGTTCTCTGTGGAACCCTAGCGGGCGATTTTGTCGATTGAGAGTCAATCTCATATTCTTCTTCTCCGTCTGGTCTTGACGATTTCGCCGTGTCTTCTGAGTGTCGATCTCCTTCCGGTCTCGGTCTCTCTCGAACCCTACACGGCGATTTTGACGAATCCGCCGCCGTTCTCATCTTCTTCTTCTCCGTCTGGTCTTGCCGAGTTCGCCGTTCTTTCTGACCTTCAATCTCCTTCCGGTGTGTCTCCTCCTCATCACCATGTTGTAGATCTACTAAAGATTCATCATCGAGGGTATCTTCGAAGATCTCTCACCTTCCCAAAATCGATTCAAGCGAGGTACATTGAAGTCTCTTCTATCTTATTATGTTTTGAAGTTCTAGGGATCGAATTAACTCTTGTTATCTCGAGTTCGTTGATGGGTTATAACTATTATGTGAAATTAACTCTTGTTTATTGATTTTTCCTGAGGTTTGAAGGTGAGTCTGAAGGTTGCAAAGACGGATTCCGATCATAATCAGGATCTTAAGTACAAAGTTAGAGGTATGTGACATAATCCATGTTCTTAACTTTGCATGCAATAGATGTGAATCAGAATGCGATTAGGTTATTGTATTGAATTTGTTTTAATGGCTGTCAAATGAATTGTGAATTGTTGGCATAAAGTAAACCTGTTTATTGAAGTGTATACTCGCTTTGTGTGTGATCTTCTCGTAGATGGTGTTTGTTAATTGCTTATGTATGTTCATCTGCTTCCAGCTTATTGCTTGGCTAATATTGTTGTTGTCTCTGTTAATTAGGGGTTGTTAACGAGTCATGTATTGTGTTATTGTATTGAATCTGTTTTAATGGCTGTCAAATGAATTGTGAATTGTTGGCATAAAGTAAACCTGTTTATTGAAGTGTATACTCGCTTTGTGTGTGATCTTCTCGTAGATGGTGTTTGTTAATTGCTTATGTATGTTCATCTGCTTCCAGCTTATTGCTTGGCTAATATTGTTGTTGTCTCTGTTAATTAGGGGTTGTTAACGAGTCATGTATTGTGTTATTGTATTGAATCTGTTTTAATGGCTGTCAAATGAATTGTGAATTGTTGGCATAAAGTAAACCTGTTTATTGAAGTGTATACTCGCTTTGTGTGTGATCTTCTTGTACTTGGTGTTTGTTAATTGCTTATGTATGTTCATCTGCTTCCTGCTTATTGCTTGGCTAATATTGTTGTTGTCTCTGTTAATTAGGGTTTGTTAACTAGTCATGTATTGGTTTGTCTGTATTGAACCTGTTTTAATGGCTGTCAAATGAATTGTTAATTGTTGGCATCAAGTAAAACTGTTTATTGAAGTGTAAACTTGCTTTGTGTATTGATCTTCTTCTACTTGTTGTTTCTTTATTGCTTCTGAATGTGATAGTATGTAAATGGGATGATGTTAGTTAGTGTGTAGAAACATGTAGTTCCTGTTTAATACTGTGTAGTATCTATGTTGGTGAAATACTTTTCACAGTGTATTAATGACCCGAAAATGAATTGTCTAGCTTATGTACTCTATGTTCATTAATGTGTCTGGTAGTGTTGTAAATCTCTCAGAATTGTGTCATAAAAGTCTTTCAATGCTAGTCTTGTACTTTAAAAATATTTAAATGGTAAGTATGAATCTCTGATCTTGTTACAACAAGATCAGTATTTACATTAAGTTGTAAATGTAAGAACATTTATTTATTCTTTTGATAACTAGAAAGCAATCTTTACTTACAAAGATTACTATTCTGTTTCTTTGAGAGTTGACTCTGATTTGATAGATATAGGTAAGTGTTAGCTTTGTATTTACTATATCCACCCAAAATTCTCTTTATGATCTGTTTTGAATTTCCAGCTTTCATTTCTTATTCCTTTTGCGATTTGATCCTTTCTCTTCTTTCATCTCTCTCTTCTTTCCCTTCTTCTTTCATCACTCTCTTCTTTCCCTTCTTCTTTCATCTCTCTTGTACCAACTTCTTTCCCTTCTGTTCTGCCTCTTCTTCCATCTCTCATCTATCACCATATGGATTCAAATCATAATCCATATGGTCAATCTCCCAGTTACTTTAGCCTTAGAAACTTTCCTTATGACAGCTTCTCTGCAAATCTAAACTTTGGCTCTCCACAAGGCAGCCAAAACCCGGGTCATAACCAGCAACAGCCTGAAACTGCCTCTTCTCAAGGGAGTCAATTCCCTGGTATTAACCACCAAGAGAGTCATGGAGCTGCATCTCCAGCCAACCATTTCTCTTCTTTTAGCCAGCCTCAGACTCAACCTCCACCTCAAGGTCAAGGCACACCAACATGTACTAGGGAGAGAAGGCAATGGAACAGCCTTGATGATGTTGTGTTGATAAGCGGGTGGTTAAGCACATCAAAAGATGTGATAGTTGGAAACGATCAAAGGTCAGGGACGTTTTGGAAACGGATTTCAGAGTATTATGCTGCGAGTGAACATGTGCTGAATGGGGGAGAACCACGGCTTCCTGACCACTGCAAGCAAAGGTGGGGAAGAATAAGTAAAGAAGTAAGCCACTTCTGTGGAGCATTTGCTTCTGCAGAGGCTGAAAAGGCTTCAGGGATGAATGATGTTGACATTCTTAAGAATGCACATCACATTTATAAGACTCTTCATCTCAAGAAATTTACACTAGAGCATTGTTGGGTTGAGCTGAAGAATGAACAAAAGTGGTGTAGTTTAGGGTTAATGAATCCCACAAGCAACACTTCAAGCAAGAAGAGAAAGGCTGAGGTTGCTCATCCATCCGAAGGGGGATCAGTTGGAACTGTCCATGAGAGCAGGCCTCCTGGGGTTAAGGCTATGAAAGGGAGAAGGTTCAAAGGAAAAGAGAAGGTATCACCTTCTGGAGACTATCCGGACCTGTGGGAGAATAAACAGCAAGACAATGAGGCAAAGAAAGTACTCCAGAAGATGAGCATCCTAGACACCCTCATTGCCAAGACGATTCCACTAGATGAAGATGAAGTCAAACTTAAGAAGAAGCTGATGGCAGAATTATTCTAAGGAGCTTATAATCTTTCATTTCTGTGTGTGTATCAGTTCTC